CGGATCACACATTCAAGGCAAGTGCTCTGCCACTGAGCTGTAGCCCCAGACTCCCTGCCCTTTTTTAATTTTTCATTTTGATACAGGGTTTTGCTGGGTTGCTGAGACTGGCTTTGAACTTGCTATCCTCCTACCTCAGCCTCCCAAGCCACTGGATTACAAATGTGTGCCACTGTGCCTGGCTTGTAGTGTTTTTTAATGATTCTCAGTTGCTTGAGTAACTGGTTAAGTACTGGTACGGGATAATTGAGAATTTTTACTCTTTATGAATGTGAGGAGTTTGGGGAGCCAGTGAAGACCAGTAGTACTTAAAGATGATTCTTGCAGGAATCTCTAGGAAGAGTAAATTGGGGTTCTGAACGAGGGAATCAGTAATGAAATATATCTCTATTAATGTGCATGTTACAAACTGTTTGGCTAAACTATGTTGTTATTTTGTGTTTATCTAGGAGCTTTTGAAGGAATACTCACTCAGAGGAAAAGAAATTAATATTTAATGAATATTTTCTCTGTATCAAACATTTTGCTAGGTCTCTACATGCATTATCTCATATAATGCTCCCAGCAATCCTGCTTTTCAGAGGAGAAAGTAGATTTAAATAACAGGTTAAATAACTTTCTCAAGGTAATTTAGCTAATGAGTGGGAAAAGAGAATGCCTTACTTTACTGGTGGAATCTCCATTAAAATTCCTGATGTTCTTTAACAAAGTTGGAAGACATTTAATTACTGAGTAATAAAATATCCTTTGAATTGAATAAGGCTAAATGAACTGTGATTCTCCTTTACTAGTAGAAAAAAATCATCACATTTTGGCAGAATGCATACTCTAGACTTTTTCTTTTTCTGAAATCTTGTTTTTTGTTTGTTTGATGTAGTTTGGGAACTATCAGATCTTTATCTAGAATGCACTGTTGTAAAAAAAGTTCAATATAGCAGAGCTATGGTGAGGAACAAAAGAGGGTGCTGAACTTAAAACATGATTTGTTTTTTTGGTGAATCAAACCCTTAAGTGTATTTATTTAGCATTTTAATGTTTTTATAATCGTAACAACATTTTACTTCAAAAGTTTTAGGTAAATTAAACAATAATTTATCCCAATAAAATATGTAAGATGTTCCTTAATTTATGATGGGATCTTATTTCAAAAAACCCATGGTAAATTGAAAGTATTGTAAATTAAAAGTGTGCATTTAATGCAGTTAAACTACTAAATATTAGGGTTGGGGATGCAGCTCAGTAGTGGGTCACACATGCCAGACCCTGGTTTAATCCTCAGCACCACAAAACAAAACAACAACAACAAAAAAACACAATGACCAACCATTGTATCTTAGTCTAGCTTACCTTAAATGTGTTCAGAACACTTATATTAGCCTATAGTTGGGCAAAATCATCTAACAAAAAGCCTATTTTATGGTAAAATGTTGGATATCTCATGTAATATATTGAATGCTGTACTGAAAGTGAAAAGCAGAGTGGCTGTATGGGTATGCTTTTGCACCATTGTGAGGTTAAAAAATTCTAAATCAAGATTAAAAACAATGGAATATTCTAAGTTTGGAGACTGGCTATATTTCCTTCATGCCTTGAGTATTGAAATATAATGAAAATTAGATTAGTGAGTAAGCAAAAACCTCTCCCTAAGTTTCTTTTCCCCTGTTGAGTTTCATTTCTTTAACATTGTGATTTGAAAAGAAAAAAATTATGTAATACATGAATACTTCCCATTAAAAAGCATTTGAACACTCAGAAATATAATTTGGAAATTCTTATTTCTTTCTCACTACATATACTATATTCCTTATACTGTATCAGTCCTTTCTTCAGGGAGAATTGCTGTTTTTTCTTTGGCTTGTGTTCGTATACCCTCCCTCTTCTCATTTATTTATTTAGTGCCAGGAATTGAACCCAGGGGCACTCAGCCCCTGAGCCACATCTCCAATTCTTTTTATTTTTTATTTTGAGACAGGGTCACGCTGAAATGCTTAGGGACTTACTAAGGTACGAGGCTGACTTGAACTCAAGATCTTCCTGATTTAGCCTCCTAAGCCGCTAGGATTACAGGCTTGCACCACTTCAAGCCCTTCCTCTTCTTTAAAAAAAATTACTTTTATATGCATATCACCTTTTTAGAAAGAGATGTAATTAAATTTTACTTATTTTTCTGCTTGTTTTATCCCTTTTTCTGTCATTTATATCTTACTGTGACAGTATATATAATCAACTCCATTTTTTAGTGGGGATGCATATAATTTATTTAATTACTTTCTTTTTGAATGACTATTTAAGTTTTTATATTTTGGGGGAGGACAATTTCTGTGGAAGTACTTCTCTAAGTTAAATTCCTGGAATTGGATCTGGAATTATATAATTTGATTAGAATAATGTTATTGCCATTTGAGTTTTTAATTTCCAATATTTTGGATTTTAAAATGATATATTAAAAATAGGTAATACATATTTATGGTTCATAATTCAAAAGATACAAAATGGGTCAACTTTCATTTTTACTACCTTTACTTTAACCAACCCATTAATCTCTTATGTCATCGTTAAATTTTCTTGTAAGTCCTTCTAGAAATAATCTATATACTTTAATGTTTTTCATTTTTCTCTCCCCAAAGAATGCTATATGCACCATTCTGCAGTATAAAGTTTTTGTTTGTTTGTTTGTTTGTTTATTGAACTGAGGGCTTTTGGCATGCTAGAGAAGCAGCCTACCATTGAGCTAGCTACATCCCCAGCTCTATTTTATTTTGACCTCTGTTTCTTATCAGTGTGTAGGGAGCTGTTTTATTCTTCTATTTAGTACTTCATTTTGTGGCCAGGCTGTGGTTAACTCAGTCATTTGCAAATTAATGAATATTTAGATTGTTTCCAATATTTTGCTACTATAATGCTGATATGTATTATGCACCTCTTAAGCTCCCAAGAAATAGAATTGGGAGCTAAAAGACATGGATTTTAAAATTTTGGTATATGTTAAACGGTTCTCTGTACAGACTTCTAAATTATACTTGCATCAGAAAATTATGAGAGTGCCTCATCAACATTGTTTTCAAACCATTTGATCTTTGCCAGCCTAAGTAAAAATGTTTTAATTTCCATATCTCTACAATGACGTTGGTTATCTTATTTGTGGCAGGAGGTTTGAATTGGGGGTTGTTCCTGGGAACTGAACCCAGGGGCACTTTACCACTGAGCTACATCCCTACCCCTCAATTCTTTTTATTTTTTATTTTGGAGACAGGGCCTGACTAGGTTGCCCAGACTGGTCTCAAATTTGTGATCCTCCTGCCCTAGCCTCAGCATGCTGGGAATGTAGGTTGAGCCACCACAACCTGCTCTTATTTGTCTTTGGCTTCATGATTTTTTTTTTTTTTTTTTTTTTTTTTTTGTGGTGCTGGGGATTGAATCCAGGGCCTTGTGCATGTGAGGCAAGTACTCTACCAAATGAACTATATCCCTGGCCCTGGCTTCATGATATTCTTTACCATGCAAGAAACTGCTATTTTTATGTGCTCTTTTTAATTCTTTTATACCCCTAATCAAACTGCTTATGTGCCAAATGGTTTTTATCATGATAATTCAAACTAAATGATAAAATAATAAAAATATTCAGAGAAGAAAAATAATTGGAGTTTTAGATATTTTGCTTTTGGAAATTTTTTGGACCAATTAATATCAGCAATTATAATTTTTACCTGATTGAACCAGCATTTACAAAGCATATACACTGTGCCAAACTGCTGTGACCAAAGTGAATAATCCTTAGTGTATTTTGAGATTAGGAAAAATAATTGATGATGATAACTGAAGAAATCAGGGAAAGAGTTTGAAGAGATCAAATGTTGAAAAGGGAGGCAAATGAAGAAGTAATTGTCTAACTGTTTTGCTCTTCAGCTTCTTGACCACTTCCAAATCTGGTCTGAGGTTTCACAATCACCATTCTTTTTTTTTTTTTTTTTCAAGAGAGAGAGAGAGAGAGAGAGAATTTTAATATTTATTTTTAGTTTTCTGTGGACACAACATCTTAGTATGTGGTGCTGAGGATTGAACCTGGGCTGCACGTATGCCAGGCGAGCGCGCTACAGCTTGAGCCACATCCCCAGCCCAATCACCATTCTTTGTTGGAAACAAATCCCAGGGATTTTAGCTTACTTTTATTCCTTCTTTATTTCCTTATTTACTTATTTTTGGGTCTTTGGGATTCAGTGCTTGCCAAGATTGTTTACGAAATAAGATAAGTCTCCTTACTCAACCCCTTTCATTGTCCCTGAAGATAGGAACATAAAACATAATAGTTTATTGCCTATAACACTGTGTGAGTACAGATAAGGGGTTAAGAAAATAACAAATATGGGTAAGTTAGAAAATACAAAGAAATATTACTAAATTTTTCTAATAACGGGCTGTGCTTCTGGATTCTCTTGCTGAGAAAAGAGGATAGTGAGCTGGTCTTTACCTCTTGATTTTATTTTAGCATGTCATCTCTCCTTAAGATTTTTCTCCTGTTTGGGGGTGAGGACCTTATTTATGCAAAGAAACTGCTTTACTACTGAGCAGTCAGTCTAGGACTTTCCTCTTTTCTTTTCTTTTCTTTTTTTTTTTTTTTGTGGTGCTGGGAATTGAACACAAGGTCTTATGCATGCATGCACAATCACAACTGAGCTAATTCTCTAGCCCAGGATGTCCTCTTTCATCCGAGCATATTTAGTGACTGTACTAATCCCTTCCTCCATGCCAATAAAGTGATCTATGATCTATGTTTTAAATTTTCCTGTGCAGCTAGCTGGTCAAGCAGAGCAGTGGAAATTAGGTGAATCTGCAAGCACCTTGTCAGAGCATACCTTTTTCCTCTTGGCTTAGGGGATAGTTGGCTTTTTTTCCCTCCATGCTTAATTTTTCTCCCTTTGCTTGGCTGACATTAACATTTACTTTTTTCCACATTTCTGATGTCTATTCACATTTCTGAATGGTTTCTTATTTGTATTTAGGTAAAATTTGGTAATACCACCTTTAAAACAGATGTATACCTCAAGTCACTCAATCCACAGTGGAACTCAGAATGGTTTAAGTTTGAGGTAAGTTCTTAAATGCCCATGTTTTTTGAGTATATATATATATATTTTTTAAGTGACTCTTTTCCTTTAGGAATGATAAGAGTATCTTTCATTTCAGGCATAGTAAATTTTCTACAGTGTAAGAATATTTCTATTTCTGCCTCACTAGGAACACTGAGTTTTTAAAAAAGTTTTTAAAAGAACACTGAGTTTTTACCTTAAGAAAATATGGTATATGGTAATGCAGATGGAAAAAAAAGCTTTAAAGTGTATTATTTTATTATTATTATTATTATTTTTGGATTTTAGCATATACAAAGAAGTACTTATGAACAACATACACAATATTTTTTTTGTGCCATTTTAGCCATTTTAAAGTATACAATTCAGTAGCATTAATTACGTGCCCAGTATTGTACAACCACCACCACTATTTCCAAAATACTTTTATACCCTGAATAGGAATTCTGTGCCTACTAAGCAGTAACTCGCTAGTTCCTTTTCCTCAGACTTTAGTAACTTATCTATATTCTATCTTTTTGAATTAGCTTATGTTAGACTCTTCATTTAAGTGGAATCATAATATTTGTCCCTTTTTATTTGGTTCTTTCATTTCCTTATGTTTTCAAGGATCATTCACATTGTGGCAGATAGCAGAATCTTATTTTTTTAAAGCTAATATTTCACTGTATTTGTGAATTTTGTTTATTTTTATTTTTTGCAGTGCTGGGGATTGAACCCAGGACCTTCTGTATACCAAGTGCTACTGTACCCCTGAGCTACATCCCCAGCCCTTTTAAAATTTTTTTATTTTGAGACAGAACCTCATTAAGTTGTATAGGCTGGCCTTGAACTTGGTGTCCTCTTGCCTTAGCCTCTCAGGTCACTGGAATTACAGGTGTATGCCATGATACCACTGCCCCCTCCCCCAGTTTATTTTTTTAATGGAGTTATTTATATTTTTGTTGTTGATATATAGAAGTTCACTATACTAAATGTTAACTCCTTATCAGGTAAATAACTTGTGAATTTTTTCTCCCATTTAATAGGTTGTCTTTTTACTTTATTGACACTACCATTTTGTATAAAAGTTTTTTATTTTGATGAAATTTGAGGTACTTTTTGTTGTTGCTGGTGCATCCCTGATCCATTCCCTATGTTTTTTTCCTGAGAGTTTTATGGTTTCAGCTCTTATACATAGGTTGTTGATCCATTTTGAGTTCATTTTTATAATAGCTTGAGGTAAGAGGCCAACTTTATTCTTTTATACAAAGAAGTCCAGTTGTTTCAACATCATTTGTTGAAGAAACTGTTCTTTTCCCGTCCTTCTCAGAAATCAATTTAAAGGGTGCGTGTGAGGTACAGACCACACTTATTGGTAGAGTGGCTGTGAGTTGGTGAGGGGTGACTTGGCTATCCCAACTGTATACCAAAAGGATGCAGTTGTAGAAACTATTATTCCTAATCTCCCAATGGCTTTTATCCAAAGGTTTCCAGCCAGATGGATCTTTCTTTTTTTTTAAAATCAGAATTCTGTTTATTTAAGAGAATTCAAAAAGCAATGAACAGCTTCATTTATAAGACAATATATATAAACATAAAAGGGTTCAGGTCCAGAATATATTTAATATTTCTATAAATAACAATGAAAAATATAATTCAACAGAAAAATGTTCAGAAGATGAACAGGCCTCACATAAGTGAAGGTATTTGAATGGACAGCAAATATAAGAATTGTCTCATCAGTCATGAAAATTCCAACTGAAATGCCACTGAAATATCTAACAAAAGGACAAAGAACAGATGGATCTTTCTAAGGAAGAAAATTTCTAGTTCCTATTAACTCCAACTCTTTTAAAAATGGAGTTCCATATTGTTTGGATAAATTGGTTTGGAAGTCAGTAAATTATTGTAAACTATTTTCAACTTTACCTTTGTGATAAGTTAAAACAAATTAGTTGTACATAGAAGTATGGGAGCTATGCCATTGATCTATATGTCTGTCCCTATGTCATTACCATATTGTTTTGATTACTGGAGCTTTGTAATTAAATTTTTAAATCAGGAAGTGAGCCTCCAACTTTAATTTACATGTTTAATTTTTTTTGTCATGAACTGTTTTGTCTCTGCATTTTCTCTTGTGGATATGTACAGATTTTCTTTTTAGCTGTTTTCAAAATGCCATTTTATATTTTGAAAAATGCATTATTGCACACATTCAATCTGTACCATTTTCAACTACATTGTTAAGATAAAATGTGGACTATGTAAGTCAGAGAAAGTGAGCAGAGAAACTTGCTTACATGATTTCAGATTTATAAAATTATGAAGTGCATCTTTCTTGTCCTAGAAAAACATTTGAATACTTACATAGGTTTATTTTGAGACTTCCTTCTTTGAGACTTCCTCCTTTCTTATAACCTAGAAACAGTTAAAAACAAATATTAATTAATTACATTGTTATTGGAAAGCTAGGAGGAGGAAGGCTTCATTTTAGTTTTTATGATGCTAAGAAATTATCATTTTAGAAAATACCATTTCATTTTGTTGATGATTCAATACTGTTAATTTTCAAGGCTAAGGAATACTTCAGCAGCTTATTTTAAATAATATAGGTTCTATGGTATTCCCCATAATCTCAGCTACTAATGAGCTGAGATGGGAGGATTGTGTGAATGAAGCTACTATCCTGGGTAACTTACGTAGCAAGACCATGTCTTAAAAAAAAAGTGTGTATTTATTTGTAGTTTTTCTGAAGTAAGAGATTTTTAAAATATTAATGGTTTCAGAAACTATAGTCACCAGCCATTTTATTTACAATTTAAATTACTATTTTGACTAGTGCTTCTAGTTAATAGCATATATGATATCAAGAATATGCATAAACTTTGTGTTTATAGTTGATGTTATAAAGTTCTTTTTTTAACTGTTGTTTATTTGTGTATGTTTTGAACACTCAAATATCTTAAAGTAGATGTTTTCTCTCATATAAAAGAAATGTTGAGATGGTTAGTATATAGCTTTATGCAGACATTTTAGATTCAAGACCCTTTCTGTCTTTTCTTCATCATCCATTCATGAGAATCATGTGACTTTAATTATTTTTTTGTATTTTTTATTGGTGCATTATAATTGAACATAAAAGTGAGATTTGTTGTTACATATTTGTCTATGCACACATTATAACAGTATAATTTGGACAGTTTCACTCCCTAGTACCTCTACTTTCCCTCCCTCTTGTCTCCCTTTCCTCTACTGGTCTCCCATTTTATGAGAGTTCGATGTGCTTTTCCCCACCTTTTTCCTCTTTAGCTTCCACATATGAGAGAAAACTTTTGACCATTGACTTTCTGAGTTTGGCTTATTTCACTTCACATAATGCTCTCTCAAGTTCCATCCATTTTTCTGCAAATGACATGATTTCATTCTTCCTTTGGGTGAATAGAATGCCATTATGTATGCATACTTTGGCTTGTCTTCAAAGTGACTCAGAGTCACTTCAGGTTCCAAGTTAGCAGCTGGAGTTCCAGGCATCTTCCTAGTGTTCTAGGCTGGCAGAAGGAGGTAGAGAAATGGGGAGTACTGGAGGGACTAGTGAATTAACATGCACTTTGAGCTGAGCAAACCCTTTGTTTGTTTGTTTTGTTTTGGTACTAGGGATTGAACCCAGGGCCTAGCACATGGTATGCAAGTGCTCTACCACTGAGCTATAATAAGCCTAATCTCTAATTCCTAATCCTTGACATCATACTGTTTTTATGTGTGTACTAATCTCTTTTTATCTTTGTGCTTAGATGTCTATTCTTTTACAGAAATAAGTCAGTTTTAGCCAGGCAGAGTGGCACACGTTTGTAATCTCCGCAACTCAAGAGGCTGAGGCAGGAGGATATCAAGTTCAAAGCCAGCCTTGTCTCAGAACATTTTGAAAAATGACTCTCCCAGGGTTAGAGAGCCCCTGGGTTCATTCCTCAGTGCTAAAAAAATTTTTAAAAAGTCATTGTTTTCATTTGGTATATGTATTCATTTGTGATAGTTAAGATTTTAAAATTAGATTTAATTTCAAGGTATACTTTTAGGTGGATGATGAAGATTTACAAGATGAACCTTTACAGATCACAGTTCTTGACCATGATACTTACAGTGCAAATGATGCCATTGGTAAAGTGTACATTGATATTGATCCTTTACTGTACAGTGAGGCTGCAACAGTCATCTCAGGATGGTTTCCAATTTATGACACTATACATGGTAAGGAGTAATAATTTAAGAAATATCATAAAATTAATGTTTTATATTTATTCTTGAAGACTTTACTGCTACATGGTTTTAAAATGTATATCTTACATGCTTTTTTAAAAATTGACAAGTAGAAAAGTAATAGTAAAATATTGTTCATAGAATTTTTACTCCTCTGATTGGAAATTAAAATTATGCCTGAAAAATTTGTGCAACATAGTAAGTAAATGCATTATTTAAAAATTATCTTGAGGTACTGGGATGTAACTCAGTGGTAGAGTGTCTAGTATGTATGAGGGCCTAAGTTTGATTCCTAACACCTCAAAAAAGAAAATTAATTTTGCTGGTACTCTGTATTTCTAAAACACATTTTCAAACTGATAATATTTGCTTATAAAATCTTAAAAGATTTTTTGTTGTTAAAGCAGGGTTTTCAAAGTATACTGCAAGAATAATTAAGGGTCTCCAAAAATGCTTTCACAGGGTCTGTGAGTTGAGAACTATTTTTAGCATAATATTCATATATATTCACTACATTTATTCTCACTCTATTCCAAGAATACAGTGGAATTTTCTGGAAGTTTTTCTGACATTTGATGTTACCACCAACTGAATGCAGAGCAGAAATGAGAATCTGTGTTATCATTAAGTAAATTATAGGTATTTGAAAAATGTAACAATACTTCTCTTAATACTAAATTTTTTTAGTATTAAGTGATCCCCAGCAAAATAAATGAACGAATGAGTAAATAAGTAAGGGCAAATATAGAACCTGAGTTACACAGTCAGAAAAAAAAGAACACATTTTCAGAATACAGTGCAACAAATGTGCATGATATATTATGGATTATAGAATGCATGTTATAAAGCATTCATTATATGATGATCTCAAAGTTGTTTAGAACCCAAAGAATTATATTTATATGATATCATTGGAGAAATTTGCAGAATACATTATCAAATATTTATCCTAGATAATTACTTTTCTGGATTATTTTTCTTGTTTGCCTCCCCCCCTTTTTTTTTTTAACTTTTCCCCTATTTTCTATAATATACATATATAATATACATACACACACAGACACACACACACATATTTCCTTTATAAACAGAAATTTAGTCATCTTTTATGTTACAAATTAAGAAAATACACTGATATTCTGCCAGTTATGGCCTTATGAGCCTTTAGTTTCAGCTACTCAGGAGTTTGAGGCAGAAGTTCATACTTCTTGAACCTAGGCAAAACAGGCCTGTGGTCAAAATTAAATGAATAAATTAAAAAAAAAAAGGCTGAAATACTAATCTGGACTTGGATTAAAGGCAGTAAATAGCTACATAAATGAATAAATTTCTCCACCATTTACTATTAAATATTGTTTGTAGGGAGTTAAATATGTTTATGGGCTCTTTGTTAGAAATACAATCTTATGATTTCAATAGATAAATTAATAAATGACTTTTCTTAGAAGGCCCTCTGCCATAAGTGAATTTGAAGTCAACAGTCAAGTGAAAATATTTAGTAAATATTTAGAGCTAAGAGCTGGATCATTCTTTTTTATTAGACTATGTTCTGAAAACCCTTATTTTTGGAATTTTAAAATTGGTATATTTTAATTATTTACAATAGTGGGATTCATTATGCCATATTGTACATGCACATAGAATAATTTGACCAATATCATATTCTCAAAATTTTTTAGTTAGCTTATTTGAAATTTTATTCATTGAAATGAATATGACTTCTGTTGAATTATAATCTTGCATTAAGTGTTAAGAGTATATACTCTGAAATCAAAGATTTTCCTTAAATCCTGGAATCTTTCACTAACTAGCTAATGACACTGAATACATTATTTAATTTTTATTAATTACATGTTTCTTTCTCTGTAAAATGGGTATGGTACTATGACAGAAATTACCTTTTTGGGTTGATGTGAATACAGTGAGATACTATATGAAAAACATTTAATATGTTTCATCTGTCAGTACCCAGCAAATGTTATCACCACCATCATTATCATCATCGTTGTCATTGTCATCAATTTAAATGGGATTCTGCTCCATTCAGTCTTAGTTCAAATAAATGCAGACTTTTGGTAGTAGTGAAAATTATTCATTCTTGTGCATAGATGGTCTGCTTCAGAAAATACAAGAAAACCACTGATAATGAAAGTAATTAAGATACAAAGTTAACATTATTATTATAATTTATACATTATTTTGAAACCATTAATTGCATCTATTTGCTTCATTATTTATTGTACACTATTTTCTTAAGGTATATTGATTTTCCTTTTGAATATGTAGGTATCCGTGGAGAAATCAATGTAGTTGTCAAAGTAGACCTCTTCAATGATTTAAATCGATTTAGACAGTCATCGTGTGGAGTCAAATTCTTTTGCAGTAAGTAAATATATTGTTTTATTTAACAGGAAATTTAATGATTTTTAAATATAGAAAAATTCAATTAATATTTTAGAAGGCTAATAAAAATGGTATACTTTGATTTTAATACTAAAGAAAAAATTGTTAATTTTCTAGAAACAATTACTGTAGCTCTCTGGCTATTTATTTGATTTAAGAATAAATGTTATCTAATTTTTACAAGTTTATTGAAAAAATTTTTTAAAAAGTCCAGTAATGTTTTATTGTAGTATAGGTCACTGAAGGATAGGAGCAGAACATTTTAGCCAAGCACTATGGTACAAACCCATACCACATAGGCTTTTTCGAGTATGAAGCCCCAAGAACTCCTTGAAATATATGAGTCTGGCCTGTGCAAATTTGGGCATCTTCTAGCCAATCCTTATTAGTAGGGTTGAGAACCACTAGGTAGTTGATTATCTTTGATACATGAATGTTGTTTTAATATACTAGTTTGGTGTAGATGTTCTATGATTCTACCCCTTAAGATCTTACATAAATTCAATGACATTTTATATATATATATATATATATATATCTTTTTTTTTTCAGCACAATGCCTTTATTTATTTATTTTTTTAATGTGGTGCTGAGACTCTGGTCCCGCCCGTGCTAAGCGAGCGCTCTACCCCTGAGCCGCAATCCCAGCCCTGACATTTTATTTAAATGAGTCTTAAGTGAGCACATATTAAACAAGTCTATTAAATAGAGCAATGACTATTGGACCAGTTGACTATATGACCATGGATTATTAGAAACTGCAGGGCTATTTGACTCCTTTGGTTATATCAGAAATGTAGTGGTCTAATTCTTGAAACTGCATTATGTGGTATACAGAAGAACTTATGCCAGGGACCCTGAATAATTTGTCTTAATAATAAACTAGTTAACTTTAATTTTGATTTTTTTTTTGCTATGTCACTGTACTTTTAATTCAATATTAGATTCATCACATTTTGTGATTCCCTTCCTGTGTATGTTTTTTATTTGTATTTTTTAAATAATTTTAATTTTTTTAAAATTTTAAAATTCTAAATTTGTTATATACAACAGCGGAATACATTACATTTCATATTACACATAGAGTACAATTTTCATATCTCTGGTTGTATACAAAGTACCTTCACATCCTTTATGTCTTTTACCTTGAGATAAACAGAAGCTCTAATAGATAGTTTGTTTTAACATGTACTTTGGATAATGATGCCCATCTCATTCCACCATCATTTCTATGCCCATGCCCCTTCCCTTCCCCTCAAATATCTTAAAGTAGATGTTTGTTTTTCTTCTTCTTCTTTTATTTTTCAGTAGTACTGGGGAATCAAACCCAGAGCTTCATAGTTAGGCACTCTACCACTGAGCTACATCCTCAGTCCTCCTTTTTTTTTTTTTTTTTTAAGTTTGAGACAGGGTCTCACTAAGTTGCCCAAAGTTGCCTTGAATTTGGCAATCTTCTTACCTCAGCTCCACAAGTAGCTGGGACAGCATGCATGCACTACCAGGCCTAGGTCTGTAGGTATTTTCTTAATTGTAAAAGTACAATTCATATTTATCCGGCTTATGTGAAAAAGTGAGGTGTGTCATGAGAGAAAAGTTATTTGTAAGATTAAAATGTGTCTTAGAAGACTTTTTAATTGGGAATATTATAATTCCACTAGTAATTACACAATTACATTGAGATCATCATAATATAAAAGATGTTTTTGTATATCCAAAAGGTAAGAACTTTGACATGCATTTTTTAAAATTAATTTTTACCTTGTGATAAACGGAAGCTCTAATAGATAGTTTGTTTTAACAGCAACGTCTATTCCAAAGTGCTATAGAGCTGTGATAATTCATGGATTTGTAGAAGAACTTGTAGTCAACGAAGACCCAGAATATCAATGGATCGATCGAATTCGTACACCAAGGGCATCAAATGAGGCCAGACAGAGACTCATTTCTTTAATGTCAGGTATACATAAACTAATTTCATTTTGATTAATACTGAGATTTTGCTTTCCTTTTGTAATGAAGGCTAAGATTTTAGGTGACTGATTCCCTACTCTTGGCCCCATCCTGCTGAACATTTTTAACAAGTGGAAATCTGAATCAGAAGCTTGTAGTAAACTAGGTAATGAAAGGAAATTGTGTTATTGAAGTGGGTTAGTGGGTGGAAAGAGCCCTGAGTTAGGAGGTTCAGAAAGGAGTCCTGAGCAGGAAACTGGATTTTAGTTTTCTTTCCTCTAGCATTGGTTTATAGTCAGAACTTAAGTAAATCTTTTATTTCTGTCTCTGATACTCTCTGTTCAAATGTTACCTTTTCATAGTCTTTTCCTGAGAATTTGTTGTTTAGCTTCCTCTACCCCTCCTGGCACTTCCTTTGCCACTCTTATCTCATTACCTTTCTTTATTCTTCTTTGGAGAACTCATTTACTACCTGAAATTTGTATTTATTTTTGTGTGTGCATACAATATATATTCACAAAAGACACAAACAAGAATAAATATTATATTTAATAAATGTATTATATTTGTATTCTGTATATTTGTTCTGTGACATAATCATACTGTATTATAATAAAATTATGTTCTATGTATTATGTTTATATTTATATATTCTCTATAATATCTATTTTTGTTTACTTATTTAATTATCTTTTTATCCCACCAATGTTAAGCTTCACTAGATTTGGAACTTTACCTTTACTGTTCACCCAAGCATCTCTAGCACTTTGAGGAAGGGAAGAATGCCAAGCACATAGCACAGAACCAAAAAAAGGTTTGGTAAATGAGGTGCATGAATGAGTCTCATTTCCCTGAAAGTAGGAAGTTAGACCAGATAATCTTTTAAGTTCTCATCAAGTTCTAAAATTCTATGATGTTTTTAAACTTGTTTTTTTGTCACTACCTTATCTAGCTTTATAGTATGTATTGTCGGGAAATGAAACAAAGCATGAGTTTTTTTCTTTCTTTTGTGGTAGGTGAACTACAAAGGAAGATTGGCTTAAAAGTACTCGAAATGAGAGGAAATGCAGTTGTTGGCTACTTACAGTGTTTTGATCTGGAGGGCGAGTCTGGGTTAGTGGTACGAGCCATAGGAACAGCATGTACTCTGGATAAATTAAGTAGCCCAGCAGCATTCCTTCCTGCATGCAATTCTCCATCTAAAGAAATGAAGGAGTAAGTATGAATTAATGAAATTGTTCTTATGGAGATTTTTATCTCTTAACCTATACATTTTCATTCGCTTTACAACATTTTAGTAGCATTGTTTGATGTGTATTTCATTTTCTTCTGTGATTTTTCTTATCAGAGATGACTGTCAAATTTTAACTTAAAAATATTTACATAATCCTAGTATTTTATTTATAATATAAAACGTGAAGTAGTATAAACTTAAACTATTCTACATCTTTATTTTTTTATTTTAATTTTTTTTAGAGAGAGAGAATTTTTTAATATTTATTTTTTAGTTTTTGTTTGTACGTGGTGCTGAGGACTGAACCTGGGCCGCACAGCATGCCAGGCGAGCGTGCTACCACTTGAGCCACATCCCCAGCCCCTATTCTACATCTTTAGACATTATGTATCTAAAACATAAAATGAATATTCATGCAATGTGTGGAATTTTATTTATTTTTTTAGGGAATATTTGAAACCCTGAATTATAATCCAATTATGTTTGTTATTGGCAACATAGTATAGAGAGGAATAAGGATTGGCTTGTGCAGGAGTCTCAAACTCAAATATCTACAGAGACCAGGCAGTTTATTAAAATAAAATAATTGAATAGGAATACTGGGGTCTGTGTAAGGCTGAAGTTGGCAAATCCTCCCTCTTTCTTTTCTTTCTGCTTCTTTGCTTCCTCCCTTCCCTCCACCCCTTGTCTTCCTCTACATTTCCTTGTCCTCCCTCGACTTTTGTTTTTGTGATGGGGTCTCACTATGTTGCCTATGCTGACCTTGAACTCCTGTACTCAAAGCTATCCTCTTGCCTTAGCCTCCTGAGGAGCTGGGATTACAGGTGCATTCCACTATGCTTGGCTTGGCAAACTTTTCTTTCAAAGGAGAGATGCTAAATAGTTCAGACATTGACAATAGAGTCTCTGTCTTTATTTATCAGAAACAAAACAGAAAAACCCATGAGTTTGCCCATCCCCTATCTAAGAGGTTAGAATCATAAATTTTTATTTCTAGAAACTATGTGTGATAGTTCCTTTGGTTGGATTTGGTCTGTGTGTCCTTATTTGTGTCAAAGGCAGAGATTCTAGCTTGGTGATGTTATATGTTGAACATTGGTAATTAAAAAATTGGAAATCCAAAGTGCTCCAAAATTCAAATGTTTTTTAGTTTTGGCACTCAAATGTTTCAGATTTTGGAACATTTTGGATTTTGGATTTTCAGAATAGGATGCTCATTGAGTAAAGTCTGTAAATATTCAAAATCTGAAAAAAAATCTGAAATCTGAACTCTTGTTCTCAAGCATTTTGAATAAGTGATTTGAGAAAGGACTTTCCTGTCATAGTGATTAGGTTAGTAGGTTCTTTTTGTGGGCCAGAGATACTGACACAGCAAGGAACAACTTGTAACTACAAAAACTTGTTCCATCCTAAATGCCAATAGTATTTTCATTGAGGAGCATTGATTTAGAGATACGTCTAGATTGAGGATTGGTAAACTTTTTTGATAAATGCCCCCATAGGACAGGTAAATAATTTTAGTTTTTGCTAATGCAACTGTATGACTCCACTGTTACAGCACCGTAGCAGTCATAGACAATATGCAAACTAATTGGTATGGCTGAGTTCCAGTAAAACTTTATTTACAAAACAGATGGCAGGTGGATTTGGCTTGCAGGCTGGAGTTTACTGACTCCTGTTCTTGATTGTCAGGGAGTCAGCATTCTGTAGTCAGAAAACTTAAACCATTTCCCAGTTCAGCCATATTTAAGGGAGGTTGAATGGAAAACAATCAGTCTTGAAAAAAAGTGTTCTAAAATCTGACCCTTTTTAAAATGACATTTTATCTTAAGCATATTCTTTTTGGTTAGCCATTTCCTTTTTTCTGGTCTTTAGTCATTTGGATTAAATTTTATTCATAAGAGGAAGCATGGAATTGCATAATTTTATTTGAAAACACATTGACAAGTGAAGTAATTTAAAAAAATAAACTGAAGAGTGAAGTTGCTAAAATAGGTCTGGAAGAACATGAACTGTCAGCTGCTAGAGGTAGAATCAGATTGTAGGTGTAACTTTTTGAGGGATTTAGAATTTTCCCCCTTCTTTTCATAGCAAATTTAAGTGAAGACCTCCTTTTCCACTTGACACTCTCTAGTTTTACCTACACTGATTGAAGGGACTTGGCTTTTGCAGTTGTGATATCTGAAGGTCTTTTTCCACTCTGATATTTAGTGGAAAGAAAAAGCTATATTATCTGTTGGTGTCTTAGGATGAGATATGAATAGCAGGGGAATATGTTTCATATGCTTTCAGGAAGAGATCCATTGATGTAAACCTTCTGGGATTGTATAGATATTCTCCTCTTCTAATTTATCATAGCCATTTTCTTTAGATTATCAAACACAATGAAGAATTTAAGTTGTTTTATTAGGATTTTCTGAACAGCATCTTATTACCTAGTTCATGTCATTTAGAAAAACCCTCTGTATTCAGGCAACTTTATTTGAGCCAGCTTCATTGTATTCTTGATAGTTTGAATTCTATTTCCAAACTTATTTTATGACTTGGCTGATTATAATTATTCTAGTATTTAATTATCATATAATATTGCTGAGTCTAGATAGGAATTTGATAAAAGGTAGTGTAGATTTGATTTAACGGATTATATGAGTTACCTGAGTGAATTAGATATTACAATGTATAGAATGGACTTAATATTAGAAATACCATAGGTTGTTATTGTGAGGCAGCCTTTCATGCAAAGAGACTGATAGAGTCAAAACTCCAAGAATACATTACGGTGTGCTTCAGTGTATTTGAATTAAAATTTGATGTCATAATTTGAACATTTTAATGGTATGTTCTACTTCATGAGTTTTTTCCTTTTAGATGTTTAACATAATGCAAAATATAATACCTTTTTTCTTGCTGAATTCTTGGTGGTAAAAAGTGTTAAGTCTAATGTATCACTTTTCTAAAAATGCTTTCTAAGAGACTTCAGCCATAATTTTTCCTATGTACAGCTCTGATTCTTAGACTAGACGTTTTCAGTGTAAGAATTCTCGGATTTTTTCATGCTTTAGCAACAAAATACAAAGCAAACAAACAAAATCTCACTTAGTTGTTTCTATAAAAATTGATTGCCAATAAGGTGTTTGATTTTCATCAGTTATACAAAACACATTTTTAAATTTATATTAGCAACAAAAGCAGAAACACTTTTCCCATTGTAAATCAATAATCTTTTCAAAAGGTAGCCTGTGGAAGCTGGTAAAAACCTTTGTGGCCAATAAGTGACAGCTCATGTTTGATCCTTGACAGGTTATGATTGGTGGGATTTTTCCCTGAGCAGTTAGTACACTCATTAAGGAAAGGCCAGGAAAAGTAGAACTCTTTCCTGTTTTTAATTTGACTTCTAAAAAATGGGAGATATGATAGTTTATTTATATAGGGTTCTTCCCCCCATTGTACAAAAACAAAGATATTGTACAGTGAAATAGTTGTCAACATGAAGTCCACAATTCTTTTTTTATGTAATATACCTATTTACTACATTCAGTATAACTTTTTTAGCTAAATTCCTCTTGAGAAATTTAAATTTTTTTATATGAATTTACATTTATATATTTAATCTAAGTTTATTTCTATATACACAAAGATGTGTTCTATTAGAGGATATAAGTTAGTATCTTACAAAATTTCAATTCAGAATGTAGTTTATGTAGAATATTCAGTATGAGAACTAGACAACATTATTTACATTGCTTTATTAGTATGCTTGTAAAAGCAGTGTCCCTTTGTTTTGTTTTGTTTTCAGTGTAGCCTGGTTATAAGCTATATATTTGATACAGTTGAAATACTAGATTGTGTATATCTATTTATATACTAGAATGTGTATATCTATTTATAGTCAGTCAGTTCACTCATTTCTCTTTATGTGTCAGTTTTCACATTCTTAAATATTCTTGTCATGAGATTCTAGACAGAAACAGTTGTTAGTTAAGCTTTCTTCATAGAAAAATATAAATATATTTGCGGTTTATATCTCAGTTTCAAAGGTAATATGAGAACTTTATATTTGGCTTCTCACTTTTATGGGTGTTTCTTCCCATAAATATTGCATAGTAAGTTCCATTTTGATGAAATTAATATATTAAAGCAACTTGAAATCCAAATCTTAGTATTTTTTCTTATTTACAATCATAATTTATTAATCTGAACCTTTCAAACTACAACCATATCCTAACAAATTAATATTTAGATGTTCTTTTTGAATTTCATCTAATTTTTTTGCATGCGAGGGATTTAAAAATAAGTTCTCTCCTTGAACTAAAGCTCCTTCAAAATTATTTAACATAACTTTGCAATCTGTTGTATGTATTGTTTTCTTTTCTTCCACTTTGACCACAAATTCCCTCAGGTCTCCGCTGGTCCATCCTCCAAGCCTTGGATGCCGCTCGACTCACAACAGCCCAATTCACACTGCTACTGGCTCACGACTTACTCAGAACTTCTCTGTGTCTGTTCCCACTCTCATCTATACTGGTACGAGACTGCTCAGACTCCAGAGCTGGGGAGAGGCAGGCCACGGGCAGAGTGGCTGCAGAGGCAGGCAGGCAGGTAGCGTAGGCAGGTACCACAAGTCTTTGCTTCTTCATTTTCTTACTGGAAGTCCAGCTGCAGTGAAGAACTTCTGTATTTAGTTGCCAAAGAGGCTCACACTCTATGGAAGTGAAAGTGTTCTTCCAGCTTCCAAAGTCTCTTCCACAGATCCTCTCAGAACCTTATCTTATATAAGTGTACTACTGTGAGTTTTGAGGAGAATTTCTCAAAATGTGTTTTGTGATTATTTCTGTAATTTTTTAGAAATGAAATTGTTAATAAGATTCTAAATGAAATAGATACCAAACCTTCCAGTTTGCTTGTTTTCTTTATGTACTAAACCTGTTACGGTAGGGTCTGTTTCATTCTGTGGAAGAGAGCTATTGGAAAACAGGTAAGCAACTATTCTGCATTAAATGTGATGTTTCTGTGTAGTTATATTCATTTTCCTCTTTGATGTGTTTTTAGCTGTGGCACTCTTGATGCTATAGGATAAGGAAACATTTTTTTCTTTTGAAGATACCTGTGTGTGTGCAAATATGAAAACAATTATGAATATTTCCACACACAATTTGTAGCCATCATTTTTTCTTTTGTACCTTAAAAAATCATTTTAAAATATTTTGTCATTTTTTTAATTTCTCCTTTTAATATGTTTTAGCCCCTAAGTCTGTCATTTCATGCTTTTTTGCTTTATCACTTGGCTTATTAACTGTTTCAATGCAGATAATATTTATCTGGAGAATGATGAATGGTTAAACAGCAATTGGTTGTCTTTGGCCTCATTCCCAGCTCCACATTTAAGAAATGACTGCTGGCCCTGCCCCAATACTTTCCTGGTGTTTGGATCATGCTGCCAACCGTCAAGCCCTTTGGCACATGATTACTTATTTTTTTCCACCTTCTTCTGGCAGGATTCCCTTCAATGAAGATCCCAATCCCAATACTCACTCATCAGGACCCTCAACCCCTCTGAAAAACCAAACTTATTCCTTTTCACCTTCCAAGTCCTACAGTCGACAGTCCTCTTCTTCTGACACAGATTTGAGTTTGACACCCAAAACTGGTAAGGCGCTTCCACCCACCTTTTGTTTTTTCTTTTTTTAAAAAAATTTGTTTCTGTTTCTTACTAGCTTTCCATCCAAATCTTTCCTCCTGTTTTTGGCATTTAAGTTAAAAAATAATGTGACTTGATTATTTTCAGTTATTACAATTAAAATATTAAGGTTTTTTTTTTTAGTTCAGAAATTATCTTGTTTAAAGATCAACATTTTGTTAATTTAATCAGAGTGTAGCCATAAAGTCTGAAATTCATTTTTGTGTGTAGACTTTTTCATTTCATACTCAGGAGGAATAACATCTTAACGCATTTGAATAGAAAGTAACACCAGTGGCTTGCAATCAAACTCCTTGAAGTATTAGCAATTTAAATTCATTGTTTGTGCTTCTCTGAATTTAATTCTGGGATTTTATTATAAAAATAATTTTCAGAACTGAAATGATTACATTGGAGTACATAGCTATTCATCTATTTATTAATTTGTTATTTAAAATGTTTGGGTTTGCTAGTTTACTCTCTAGCTTAGAAAATGTCATTTTTAGTTATACTTGAATATTTCTCAATTTATTAAACTTATAATTTTTTCCCTCTCCTATTTGTATTTTTATGAGTAACCTTTGTGGGTTTTTATGCATATGTTTATGATAAAAAGTTCATACAGATTAAGTTAGTATCTTACTCCCTAAAATAGAATTAACTTATATAAAGCATTAAATTATTATTATTTCTAAGGAAAATTAAAAATAAGTTAAAACATTTAACAGTTTATAATTTTTGTAAATAGTATTTTTGTCTGGCAGTTTTCCCATCAGATTGATTAAATTATAGTTCTTATTTGTATTACTTTTAAACTTACCATCTTTAATAGACTTACTTTTGTGTTAGAAAAGAAATTTATAAAATGATCCCAGATTTTGTGAAAACAATGAAAAGAAAGCTAATTCCAAACCAGTGCTACTTATAGAGAAAGGACTTTTTTTTTTTTTTAAAGCTCATCGCTTTAATTGCTATTTTTTATAAATGTCATTAAAACATAAAGATAATTATAGACTTACTTCTTTTGATAATAACTTTATTTTTACATATATATTAAGCTCTTCATTTTCCTGAGTTCCACCTCTGAATTCAACCAATCATAGATTGAAAATATTTGAAAAAATAATTGGATCTATGCTAAACATGTACAGATTTAAAAATTGTCATTTTTCTCTAAGCAATATTGCTAACAACCTATTTACATTACATTGCATTAGGTATTATAAAGTAATCAAAGATGATTTAAAATGCATAGAATGTACACAGGCTATATTCAAATATGATTGCATTTTATGTAAAGGACTGGAGCACTTGTGGATTTTGGTATTGGGTGTGGTGGTGGTGCTTATCCTGCATCAGTCTATTGCAGAACTAAGAGATGACTGACTTTAATTATGAACAAACATCTAAAAATAAGAGTATTTGATTGTAATGGATGCTTTGGAATGTGGCATTTTAACCATATTTATGCCATAAAAATTGAATCACTCAAAGTACAGTAAAAAATGTTTTTTAAATAGAGAATAGGAGAGTCTGGCCTTCATATTCATGACAATCATAATTAGACAGACTTAGGATAGTATTTAAAGAATACTTTTTTGAAGCTTTTTTTCACTAACTTTGTATTCCAGGCCACTTTTCAATACTCTTTTATTTTCCTTTGCCATACCACATAAAGTTTTGAGAGTATTTCCTTGGCTTTTTGTTTCTAAAGTCTATGCCTACTAAAGCAGATTGTTAAGATATAAATCAGTTGAACCACACTTCTCTTAACTGATAGGCAATTAACAGTATTAGCAATGACAACCTTTTTGTATTATTAGTACTTAAAAATCTATTTACAAATGAAGTATTAATTTTAGTGTGTAAGCTTGCTCTAAATAGTTTGCTTACCCATAAATATTTACTACCTCAATAGCTTATTTATAAAATATTCGCAGTTTTTAGTTTCTTGGCCTTAGCATGAGCCCTTAGATATCTGAATAATTCTGAGGAACATTCCTGTTTCTCACAGAGAAGTAATTTGGTAATATTAAAATTGTTTTAAAATTCCTAGAACTATAATTCAGCATGTTTGTCATGCTTTTCTGCCTTCTAATTTATCCATATGTAGAGTTGGTATCTTGAGAAATATTGGAATGAGATAATCTGATTATAATGATTTATCATTACTAACTGGGAAGACAAAAAGTATAACAAAAGTAATAAAGCTTAGATAGAAAAAGTTGTTTTTTTGTCGTTGTTTATAATTAATGCTCTTGCTTGTTTTTCTGGTAGGTCTCCTCTTTTTTTTAAAAAAATTAACTCTTTCTGTAAATTTTAACTTATGACATTTTATGAGGCTTTATTTTTTCCCCAAGTAGTCAACTAATAAGAGTGGGATTTTAAAATGCTAGTGTTAGAATACTAATTCGACACCTGACTTGAACTAAATTTTTCTTTTTTAATCAGGTAGCTAGCTATATATAGTTTCTGTGATCCAGAGGTTATCGGACCCTGATGAGGCTCAAATATCTGTACTTCACACAGTACTGTGATCAGATTAAAGTGTGAACAATTTTAGAGAAAAAAGAAAAGTATTAACATATCTCAAAGCTGGACAGAAGGAAGTTGGTATTTATTTTAGATTAATAATGACAATTGTGTACACCTAATGAGGTGCCATTTGATTTTGTTTTTAAAGTAGATTTTCAATTCACATACCCACAGTGCTATCTTTTATTTTAGCTAGTAAAATTTAAAAATACTGTACTTTGCCACTTTAAATAAGTGTTTATAGTTGAGGCAACAAGTTTTAGGCTTTAACACTTTGAAAATGTGGTACATTTTAACCCTTTGAATTCATAAACAAGAAAAGGGTAGGTAATTTAAGTATTTTGAAGAAGTCAGTTAAAAGTAAGACGAAAATGATTAAAATGGCATTAAATCCTTAGTCATTAATTTTTTTTAAAGAATGTAGTTTGAAAGGTTTTCATTAAGTTTTAGAATATACCTTTTATTTGTATTATATTGGATAGACAGTTTTGCTAGTGACTTTTCATATGCTTAGTATAACTTGTCTATACATTTTAAAATTCATTTTTACTGTTATGTTTGCTGCTTCATCATTGCTTTCCTTATCCTGCATTTCCTGATCATCTTCTGAATCTGCATCTTTTCTCTGCTACTTTCCTCCACAGCATCTTACCCACAGGGACCTAGGATTTACCTGTGTCCCAGCTCCCCCTCTCTCTCTTGTGGTTCCCTTCATCTTAAAAAGTCCTGTCTCCTCCTCTCGGAATCTAGCCTTACCCCTCATCATTCTAGCCTTGTCAGCCCAGTTCTGAGGAAAAGTGTTTCTTTCAGTGAAGAGCTGTTCCTGGCTGCTTCTGGTAGGATCACATTATGTCAGCTTTTTAATCCCTTTACTTTAAATCATTTTTGAAAAAAGTTTAATTATTTCATACTATAAAGAATTATTGCATATTTTTACAGGATGTATTTCTATTATTTTTTTTACTGATAAAGAGTTGAACAATTAGATTTATCATAGGATATAATTGAGCATTACTTGATGGATAATTATGAATATTTGGTAAATTATTGTATACATTAAAAAAAGTTTATGTCTAATGACATAGATCTGGCTGTTTACAATAATTATTTAAGTTCTTAGTACTAGCATTTCTGTTTTAGATGCTTTACTTTCTTCCCTACATACCAATTCTGTTCACGTTGGACCTGTATCATCTCATTGCTAAACCATATGGTTACATTAGTAAATTATTCTGTTTGAATCAGTTTAAGTCTCATTTTTTCTGATCATTGCATTAATCAAATTATTCTATATTTTTTGATGTTTTCCTTGTCACTACAAATTTACATTTTATTTTATGGCTTTTAATATGCTTCATATAAAGATCTTAGTTTAATTTCTGTTTAGCGTTGTATAGTCTCTTAAAAATGTTTAGGTTAATCTAAGAAAATTGAATTTACTTTTTACCTTTAAAGAACAGAATGGGACTATACACATGCTAATCTTTGTTTCCTTATCCAAGAACAGCTAAAAATGTAAAATTAAATTAGCTCCTTTTTAAGTTATTGTAGTAAATTTGAAGGTATGCATTTTCAGTTTGAAATGGGTGGGATGAATTCCAATCTGTAGAATCCTGGGTTCTCACCCATCTCCTGCTTTCATGGATCATAGTTTGTCCAGTGGTTCTTTCAAGACAATAAAATAAGATAGGAAAAGAAATTTAAAATTAAGTTTTAAAAAATACAGATATGAGCTTGGGAAATATAATTCTTACATCCATAATTATGTACATTTGTAATGTGTCTATTATATTTCTGTGACTTTTAGTTTTTTTTTTCCCAAATAATTTCTTTTTGTTTTTTGGAATGAATGTTGACATATATCAAAATAATACCATTTTATATGATGTTATGTTTAGAAATGGGAAGTTATCAGAAAATAAATATACTAAATTTAAAAATTACCTAGATTTCATGCTCTTTAGAGAATTTTGGGATATTTTTAGTGATCTCAGCGTTTTTCTTTTCTGTATTTATTCTTAGTCAAACACTTAATATTTCTCTGTTTTTTTAGTGTTCTTAAATTGTTAGCATAATAATAATTACCATTTTGATGATTTTTATTTTATTTATACAAATATTTATCTCTTTAACATTGTTTCTTTTCATAATTCTTAAACCACATTGAGTCTAAAGCTAACCATGATCAGAACTTTGACATCTTGCTTCCAAAGAAAATTTTGCTAGTCTATTAGAGTAAAACATATGCTTTAGTTGCCATCTTGAATACTTTAAATGTGTGGATCATTTTATATTTTGACTCATGAGATTTATGAAGTTGAATGCAATTATACTTTCTGTTTCTATAGTTGGATTTTTTGGTTGTTATTTATGTGCTAATGTTCTGTAGGAATGGGCAGTGGTAGTGCTGGAAAAGAAGGGGGGCCATTTAAAGCTCTTTTAAGACAACAGACACAGTCAGCATTGGAGCAGAGGGTAAGATTTACCAGATATTCTTATTCTTACACTGTTAATATGAACTTATGATCTTATGCTTCTGTGTACATATTTACTTTCCAAAACCAAACTGTTTTTGGTTATATCTGAAAATATTATAGTTTTGAAATCCAACTTGTGTATGAATATTTACTTTTGACTTGGAGTAATTCTGTAACTATTTTATGTTTTCCTCTAAATATTTATTAGAAATATTTTAGAGAAATATCCATTGAATACCGAAGTCATTTTTAATTTTGTCATTAAAATTATAAAGAAATAACATTTTTGAAGAAACAATATATCAGTAGCATTTATTAAAAACAATTCTTTAGTAATATTTTTACTTAACAAAATTATTTTTTATCACTGGTCAATCTCTGAGATAAGAAATGTATATTTTCTACATGATTTTACAGATTAATATAGTGTTTCATTAATATAATACATCTATTTTGATTGTTATGTTTAATGTTTACTTGCATTGGTTGAGTGGGAAAATGAGTAGTTATAGTTTTTGGATGATTTTTCTCTCTCTCTTTTTTATAAACTTCATTGCTAAGGGAGGATCGCCTCATAGGTTCTGTAGAAGGCGGGTATGTTTCCAAACATGTGTGAGAGCCTATTTCTTGTATTAGAAGCTTTTCCAGTTTTAATCTCAGTCACTTAAGTTTTGTTTAAGCTTTTAACAAATGTTGCCAGCTTTTTTCTTTTCCATAATGCAACTTTTTTTTTTAATTTAATAGCTCCATTAGGCTCATGTTCTTTTTTTTCTACTAATACAGTGCATGATTTTATGTGTTATGTCAATTATTTTAAGATACAGTTTCATAGCTTTTATTATGTTTGATTTGGAAGCTATAAACATTTATAGAATTTTCTTTATTATATTTTATGCCAACATTTGGGAGAAAAAAAGGTGAAGCATAGTAAATAACCTGTGAAAGGATGTGTTTTATGAAACAAAGCTTTTTTTTTTTTTCCTACAGTTTGACTGTTGAGAACAATGTTTTTCAGATTCTCTTATTACAATAATAAGAGAGTTTATTTTTCTAGGCTATTTTTCCTCAAACTGAAGGTATCCATGTGTGCACAGTTTACCTTTTAGACAAGGACAGGAATGGCAGAGCTGAATTGAGCAGACCAATACGATCAGCTATATCCAGTTCTTTGCTTTATACCCCACTGAGCAGCACCTTTCAGCCACTCTCACGTCTCAGAAGCATACCACCTGCTACCACCAAAAAGTTCATCCATACATTTAAATCACATGTTAAAACCAAATAGAGCAAAACACTAAAACATGGAAGAGAAGCAGGTCATTTTTTAGGCCAGAATACTCTTATGTCTGCCTCTTCCTGTTTTTGTGTTCTCTACAGAGTCCTTCATATTGGTATATGATTTCTTGTAATCAAATTACCATTCTAGAATTCACATCAACAGAAAAACTTAGGTTGCCTTAAATTTAGATATAATGAATTTTGTCTTTATTATATGCCTTGTCCATTTTAAGAACCTTTAAAACTGTTTCACTTGAAGGGGAAAATTAATGAAAATCATTTTGGATTTAATTAGCACGAATCTCTTTTAAATGTGCTTTTAAACATTCTTAGAATCTTGGCACATTAACACATTGGGCATACATTACTGAACAATCTTCATGTAATTAAAAGGAAAGGTTTTGAGAACTCTAGTTTTCATTTATGACTTTGTAAAAGCTGGCTGTGTAACTGCTGTGGTAGTACATCTATATCATTTGTTATGTAGTGGTAGTTACTTAAGTTTACGAGACTACTTCTCTGCCCTGTATGAATAATAAATAACAAAACTTCATGGTTGTTGACTTTGCCTTTCACCTGTGCTGCCAAAAGCTTTTGGCTTTTGCAGTTTTGGGGATCAAACCCAGAGCTTTGTATATCTAGAATGGCTTTTGTTTTGGGAAAAATTTGTACAGAAGTATGAAGAATCTTCCCATTTGTTTAGATGTGTCTTATCTCATTTTGAATGTTGTTTTTTTAAAAATACTCATTTCTATTCTTTGCTAAATCTCCCTTTTAAATTTTATTTAAAGAGGTACTTCATTGCCCAACCTCATTTAATGGGTTAATTAATTTAAAAATAAAAATATTGTTTTCTTACACAAACATTAAGAGATCTTGGCAATAGATGCCAGGTTTTGGGAGATGAAAAATTAAAGTAAAAGTTTATTTATATTTAAGTTGAAAAAAAAAATCCAAGTTACTTTTTAGGTTCTGGGGTGTATATTTTTCTTTTCTTTTCTTTTTTTTTTTTTTAAAATTTTTATTGTTGGTTGTTCAAAACATTACATAGTTCTTGACATATCATATTTCACACTTTGATTCAAGTGCGTTATAAACTCCCATTTTTACCCCATATACAGATTGCAGAATCACATCAGTTACACATCCACTGATTTACATATTGCCATACTAGTGTCTGTTGTATTCTGCTGCCTTTCCTATCCTCTACTATCCCCCCTCCCTTATAGTATAAAAACCTAGTTAACTTAGTTTAACTTAGTATTTCCCAAATATATTTTACCATGGAATCTTCTTCTAAAATACCTATTCATGAGGAACATATTTTGAGAAATATTGATATAAAACACTGTCTTCTTGTGATTAATAATCTTTTTTTAATATTTATTTTTTAGTTGTAGTTGAATACAGTACCTTTATTTTACTTATTTATTTTTTTGTGGTGCTGAGGATCAAACCCAAGGCCTTGCCCATTCTAGGCAAGTATTATACTACTGAGCCACAACCCCAGCACCTGATTTATAATCTTTTAAAAGTAGGTTAAAATTGTACAATAAATTATTGTAGGAATCTGGCATGGAGTTTTATATCTAGAAAAATTCTCTTGGTAATAAAAAGAATATATGATTTTAAAAACTATTTGGATATCTTTTTGAAAAATTACATTTAAATCTTTTAAAAACAATCATGTTTTATTGATTTTTCAACCAGCCTATTTTTAATCATACATTGTTAAATATTTTTATGCTTCATACATATGGCTTATGCCAAAGCATCAAGTAAAATCCATGTGGGGGACCACAGGGAAAGATCCTTTAAATATAAAGAGTTCTAGAGAAAATATCTTATATGATTGCTAAAATTCACATTTAGGCTTTGAAAGCAGGGTGTGCTTGGCTCATTTAAGGAAACTGTCCTTTCAGTGGAAGAAAAAAAATCTATAAATTTGTTCAGTGGAATGAACAAACTATAGATTCAAATCAAGTCTTTCACTCAGTGTTTTAACCATAAATAACAGGGGAACCAGATGATGAGGTTTGTTGTTCAGAAACAGTATATCAATCAAAGGTCCTCATGACCTCAGTTTTACATCTAAACCTGGAAACAATATGGGAGAGATTATAAAGCATAGTTTTGACATCCTTCCCACAGAGCAGTCTGTGCTGATGGTAATGGAGATGATAGGTACATAGAGTAACTCTTCTAATTAGAGAATAGTCTGAAGATAGACTTTTGATTAACTGACTTTAATTTTTTTTTCTTTTTAGTTGTAGATGGACACAATACCTTTATTTTGTTTATTTTTGTGTGGTGCCGAGGATTGAACTCAGTGCCTCATATGTGTAGGCGAGTGCTCTACCTGTTAGCTACAACTCCAGCCTCAACAGTGACATTTTTGCTTCCAATAGGTTAAGTTCTGTATTTTAGGTTAATTGGTTTGCTGATTGAGTGACACATGTTAGAGCTTAAGTTGGCAGTGAGCCTTCACGTTTCGTAGGGCAGCCACTGCTACTATCCTTCTGCTCTAGAGTGTTGCTTTCGCTCTCATTCCTTTATCTAATCTCCCAAAATTTGGGGAGAAGACTAAAAAGTCCTGAATAGAGAAATCATTTAAGTTCATACTTTTAGTACTTATCTAAAATCTTATATGCATATGTTTTCCAATGTGTGTAAATTTACCTAATTTACTTTTTAGCTTTAGAAGAAAGTAGTTTTCCATTTAGTTTCAAAAAATTATTTTCAATGTCTGTCATTTAGATATGTAAAAGACTTAAGTATAAAGATTAAGTGTAAAGTATTTTTTTCCCCCCTTTGGGACCATCACATACCTCATGTATTTTGAGGTACTTTTAGAATCTAAATTTTCCTAATTGGGGGAGGGGGCGGTGCACAGAGAAGGAACAAACCTAAAGACCCAACTTATTATGGAAAATACTAACATTTTTAATAACATAAGCTCACCTATACATGTCATTTAAAACTTACATTAATGAGCTGGCATCGTAGCTCTTTGGGCTAGGGTTGTGGCTCAGTGGTGGAGCGATTGCCTAACATTTATGAGGCACTGGGTTTGATCCTCAGCACCACATAAAAATAAAATAAAGGTATTGGGTGTCCACCGACAACTAATATATATATAAACTTTAAAAAATTGATGATGATGATGTGTATTCCAACTAAATAGTTTATGATATATTCAAGTGATATATGCCCCCTCTATCTTCTTCCCTTCTTTCCCTATGTCTGTCCATAACCTTGTTTTATACTCTTTTCTTACATAAGGTTGTCTTTTCTTGCTCCTCCTCCTCTTCTTTTTTTTTAAAATTTATTTCTTACATACATGACAATAGTGGAATGTATTACTTGGTCTTCTTATATTAATGATTTCCTCTAAATTTTGACCAACTTTTTAAAAAATATACACAATGCATTTTTTATACTTTACTTTCATGGATTACTGATATGTGCAGGACTGTTTGCCTTTATGTTAAATGATTCCGGATTGCTATGTTTTGTGAATTATGCTTATGTGAGTTTGTATTCTCCATGCTTTAAGCAGCCAGTCAGAAATCTTGCTGCTTTTTTATGTGCCTGCTTGTAGCAGTATTTTGTATCTTTTTCTGTCCCTGCTTCTATTTTTTGTATTTAATCTGCCATGGTCTTTAGAATTATACATTCCTAACATATATAACTATGTAACTACTATATATAACAGAGTGAATACCATCTGTGGAGAGATCGCCTATGAATAAAATGCATGAATTTTAATACTTGCAGCTCTGATAGTTCTTTTGACTATTAAGAGCTTTGTTTTGCATATTTCCAGATCTGTTACATTCAAAATGGTTGAGGCTACTGGTAAGTGACTTTTGGTTGAGGGAGCTACATTCATCTATTTTCTAGCCAGACAGGTCAGATAACAAATTCCCATTACTTGCCTCCATTTTGTATAATGTGAAGGGGGCCTGTATGTTTGAGCAGCCAACTAATTCCTGGGTGTAATTTCTTTTCTTTTCTTTCTTGGTACTGGGGATTAAACCCAGGGGTACCTTATCACTGAGCTACATCCCCAGTCCTTTGTATTTTTTGTTTTGAGATAGGATTTCTCTAAATAGCTGAGAGTCTCACTGTTTCCCAGACCGGCCTCTAATTTGCAATCCTTTCTCAGCCTCCAGAGTTGCTGGGATTATAGGCATGTGCACTGCACCCGCTCTGAGTACATGCCTATAAATGTCCTTTCCCTACTTTTTCATTTCTCTTTTGAGTTTTTCTCCTTGTCTTTCAAGTTGAGAGGTTTTCTGTCCTTAAGAGAAAAGGGGAGAATAAAGTTTGGAAGACCTTGTAGAATGGTATTGCCTCCTTAACTCTTACTACGTATTTTTACTACATATTCTCCATACCTCTGCTTTTTGCCTTCCTCCTACCCCCGCTTATGGTGCTAGGGATCAGACCCAGGGCCTCATACGTTCCAGGCAAGTATTCCACCACTGAGCCACAGTGTCAGTCCTCCTCTTTTCTTAATATATGTTTAAGTACTCGCAGTTGTTACTGCTGCTGACAGAGTGAGGATAGTAAATATTTCCATACTGTGATGCTTTGCACACCTTGACTTGGAATTTGTTTTTTTCCTTTCTCATTTCTCTTAACCCACACTGCTCATCCTCTTACTCCCCCTCCATTGATCCCACTTTCTTTCAGGTCTCTTTCCCCGAGCCTTTGGAATCCTTACCAGTATCTTATATTGTGGATGTGCTTGAGAGGGCAGTAAATAGATAATGGAATAGAGGGGTTGGCTTATTCTCTCATCTCATTGTAAAATTGTACTAGAGTAGGAAATGTGCTTTCCAGATGTCTCATGTTTGAACTCTTAAAAACATTTTTTTCACAATGAGATTTGATAAAAAAGGGTCTTTGGAGTCTGCCTAATATTGTATATGTGGAAAATTTTAATTACAAAATATTTGTAATGTATAATGGATAGCTTTTTATTAATGTATAGAATGTGTTTAATAAACAAATTTTTTATACTTCACACGTGGACAGTTATATTTTTTCCATTTCTTTCTACTAGGAATTTCCATTTTTTACCCTGACTACATTTCCTCCTGGATTCCTTGTGCACGTTGGAGGTGTTGTTAGTGCACGTTCTGTGAAGCTTTTGGATCGTATCCACAATCCTGGTATGTTCTTGCTTTTACTGCTTTCCTTTATTTAAATTCTGTTTATTAAAACTGATTTTTATATTTAATGGACCAAATCTATCTGAAAAGAAAAAATGAAAAGAAAGTATAAACTGGCATGTTACCTTAAAATATTTATAGTAATCTTCATTAAAAAATGATCAAACTCAGTAAAAGTATATGTTAGTTACTTTTCTATATAAAACAAGCACATCTTGATTTATTTTTGGCTAAGGAAATTCCTAAATGATTTTTGAATCAGCAATTTTCTTTGACAGAGGAAGATAGAAAATTTTTACAATTTGACCATTATGGTCATTAATTTAAGATGTTAATTCTTTTTACTAGCAATATGTTTTTATCATTAACTTCTTTGTTTCTAAAAAGAGGTATCCTTTTAAATTGTGAATATTGTGTATAGTATCTAAAAATTAAAAAGAACAAGAACAAACTAATATTTGGTTTTTTGGTTTCTTTTTTGTAACTATTTGTTCTATGTAAATGAACAAATGAGAATAGTAGCTCACTTTAAAACATGGGACCATAATTATAAAAGAAGATAGACATCAAAGCCCCAGTAATTTCAGGCCCTTAGATTAGAGATACTCTGGTCATTTTTCTAAATCTAAAATAAGCATGACAAATGGTAGGAACTTTACATATGGAATGTATTTTTGCATCTCTCATTATCTAGATGCTCAATCATTTGTTCAAGTCACTAATTTTGATGACATATCTTAGACCTGAAGTTATATTAGTATTCTTATTTGGCATATATACATACATATTTTTGAAAGTTTTAATTTGTCTCTCTAGGAAGTAATATCTTTGTGATGCTTATACTGAGAACTATGAAAAAAAGTAGAATCCTTTAAAATTATTGGGTGGAAAACATTGCAGATAATGATTTTGAGGATTTATAGCATTACCATTCTTTCAGCTTTTTCAATATTTAATCCATGTTTCGTGCTTTCATTTTGTATGAGTTAATTTCAGAGAGGATGCAATTATTCAGGACTCTGAATACGATTCAGAGAAGTGCTACCGGATCTACTTAATTCAGAAGCTTATCAAATACGTCTTTTAAGCACCAGTCTTTTTTTTTTCTTCTTTGGTTTATTTTTTCCCCATTTCTTATTTTTTTTGGTTAATTTAAGAACTTTTCTTCTTTGTAGTACTTGTGTATTCTTTGTTTCTTAGAGAAAAATTAAGACTAATGCCACTTTATGGTATTAAGATATTGGGTATTAAGATATTCTATATCTTTGTGTTTAGAACTTTGAATTTTTTGGAAAGTTTAAGGAAATACTAGTTAAGGTACGTGACATTAATTGGGTAACACAATGCTAGTCACCTAAATTTCTGTGGACTTTTGACTCCAATATTTTAATAGATGGTATCTACTAATGAGATTCCAAAAACAGTTTCAAGGTTATTTTCAATCATTGGTAATATCTTCTAAAATGAAAACATTTTTATATTTTATTTTGTTGCTTCCATGTACTCTGAATAAATGGTAGAGTCTGGGAGAACAAAGGTTACTTAAATAAACTTACATGTAGAGGTGTGTTTTAAATGTCACTTATTTATTTTTTTTTAAACAAAAGACTGTTTTTTTTCGGGGGGGTTATCATACCTGGTAATTTATTATAGCTTTGTTATAACTGTAAGAATCTAGGTCCAGTGAAGAACATGAGAATCCTGTTACAGAATGTTTTTTGTGTCAATTAGCAGTCACCAGTTTCCTCCTTTCTCCCCACTTTCAGAATAGTTTTTCAGTTCAGGTATAGAAATTCTTCAGTTATTAATGGACTATTCCCAAAAGACTATGGGCATATACATATAAATGCTTTCAATGGTGTATGAGTTACATTTTCATTTTTTTTCTTTTAGTTAAATACATGTCAATTATATATTCGAATGATTTCAATAGTATCTTACTTTGATTTAAAATATCATTCATTGGATTGTTTTATGTATGTATTATACACTAAAAAGGAACATTTACTTAAGATCATTTGTTAATCTCTAAACTGCTTAAATATTTTTTTTATGAAAAAATCTTAATTTGTTGAGAAAATTAAACTCTGGATTAGCATCTACTATAATGACGATGAATAATTTTGTATCACTGAGCCATTCTGCTAATAGAAACTTGGGTAGTGATATACATGTGTCAATGTTGAAAATACTGTTTTCACCCTCAAGTTAATCTTTTAGCTATTTTTTGACTAGTGAATATTGGAAATTTTTATTTCATTCTCAGTATACAAGGAAAAAATAATATTTTAGAAGCACTACCACCTACCAAACTCTTTGGATTATTATTTTGGCGATTTTCTGTTTTTGAACTTTCTCCTTTGCTAACTATTAAGTAAACAGGAGCATAAAGGTGAAGAATGGGGTGGTTTAAAAAAAATCAAGGTAATTAACTTAAACAATTAGACTAGTTAATGTTAGTTTACTATATCATGCTTCTTCTTTCCTTTCTATTTCTACTTCTTATTAACTCTGCTGTCTGTCTTTCCAGTTCCTGTCAAGTGGTATTGTCAATTGTGTTTTTGTTTATAGTTTTTTTTTTTGTTTTATCCTACTATTCTCCACCTAAAACTGATCTACTAATTTGCTGTTTTGAACTCAGCCTTTGTCGGAATTATGGGTAACACAAGATCTTACAAACTACTAGACTGGAATAGTTTCAATTCAGGTATTTTAATGGTCATTCAGTACTACATATGCTGACAAAAATTATGGCAGCTCAGTGAAGTTTTTAGAAGTGTTCTAGATTAAATAGGTTTAATATCAATTCAGTTACAAAGATACATTCTGCAATACATATGTAATAACTTGTAATTTCCATGGAAATGCAGATATAAAAATGTGTTAACTAAAATGAATTAATTAAAACCATAGAAATACCATAAATTATGAATGACTTTTCTTTTGTGACTAACTTTCAAATGAGAATTAAATTATATATTTTAGACAATTTTCATATCAGGGAGATTATGCAGGCATTAATTTTATGATTAAGCAAATATTTGTTAAGTAATAACTATATATGACTAATTTGATAAATCTTTTAAAAAGTAGACTTAAACTGCATATTTAGATATGAGTAGAATATACTTAGTGTTTTCTAAAGTTCTAAAAAATGTAATTGTTAGCATTTTTATTTATAATTCTAGAACTGTTCCAAAATTTGGCAATTCAAGAGCAGATTTCTTTGGAGATTAACAGCTTCTATAACCTTTCCTCCTTCTCTTTCCATATGAGAATATAATTTTTCTTTTTGAGCCATTTAAATATTGATATAGTTTATAGCTTTTCAAGAAATCAAACTAAGAGAACTTTACAGCTGATGATGTGGTTTAGAGTCAGAACCAGTCAATTCTTTTTGAAAAAAGCATATTCTCTCACTAATATAAACATCTAAACTTTATATTACTATCTTAGAATTAAATTTAATTATAGAACTATTTTAATTCTGTATCAAAGCTGATATTTTGCCTAAAGAAAATTTTCAGTTCTTTGGGTTCAAAAGTATATCTTACAGAAAATCAAAAACACCAGAGGGCTCAGTATTTTAGATAATATCCCATAATCTTTTCAATATTATAAACCTTTTGAGTTTGTAGGAGTCCAAGAGATAAACTCTAATGTAAGTAATGCATGTTTGACTCTGAAGCAAGTCATATTCATCATGTAGATTTATCAAAATTCAATCTGCTAAACAATCTGATTAGGTCCAACCTTTACAGTAAGTAGACTGCTGTCAATTGGTAAATCTTTAGGGAAATTACCTCTATTTTCTATTCATGTTTTTACCATCATGCTGTCATTGATTTTAATTGAAATTACCATTTTTAGTGTAGTATTCTATAATTAACTTTTAATGAGAAACTTAGAAATATCTTGTTGGATTTATTTCATAGAAGCTATACATTTTAAAAATATGGTCAGTTTAATACAGTGGGTAGAGAACAAGGTTGTGTTTAAAAAATACATTTAGTGCATTGATCTTTAATAGTTTAAGGAAGGTCAAAGGTGTTCAGGGTGAGATATATGTTGGTCAGATGATAGAACAGTCTTAGAAAGTGGGAAAGGCAAAATTAAATCTTATAGACATGGGGACATTATTTCATGTAAGCAGAATTACAGTTTGATAAAGAGAAACATGGTTGAGGAAGGAATATATCTTGCCATCATTTAAAATAATGCCAGGTGAGAAATATATGAAGAAAAAATATAGATATATTAATGAATGTTTAAAAAAACATACCAATGATATTTTCAGTTAATTGTTCTCATCTCATTGATGAGGCATTAGGATTTGCCTGTAATAGCTGGTACATCTTCATAAATAAGGCTGGTTTTGATATTAGTTCAGGAAAAAGCACTTGATAATTCTGAAGAAAATATGATGTTTTTGATAAATATATATTCAAATCACTTATGTATCCTGTGTAATTTGGGACTGTTTAGCTGTTGCTATTTTATATTACAATAGAAAATCAAAATTGAACTTGTTAGTAATTGTTAGTATTGTTTTTGTTATTTCTAGAATTGTTCCTTCATACTGAATTTCCAGGATTCTCTGACATCATGTATCATGTGATACATTGTAGCCTTCTAAGAGAAAGGAAAAAGAAATTATACTACATTAAGTATACTTATTAATTATTAGACATTCTCATTTTAGAAACATTAAAATGTAGAAAGATATAGGAAAGCATGTTATGCCACACAATACTGTTTCATAAATATGGTAGATATGTCACATAAGCACATACAGTCATGCACTGCATAATAAATTTTTGGCCGTATATGATGGTAGTCCATAAATATATTATTGCTCAATTGATGATGTAGCTTAGTTGTGTAAGTACATGTAGTGATGTTTGTACAATGATAAAAATCCATCAAAGCATTTCTCAGAACATATATATCCCTATTTTTGAGTGACACATGATTATTTTATGCCATATAATTTGCTAGATACTAGAAGGCAAAGGTTGCCAATCCCCCTGCTTTCACAAAACTCATATTCTTGGGAGGTATAAAATCATTAAATGATATATTGTGTAGTATGGTGTTATACTAGATGAAGAAGACATGATTAACTCGGTGTCAGGGGGCTTACAGAGGTGGCAATTCTTGAATTCAGATTGGAAAGATATATAAGAGACTCTCATAGATTTATATCGCAGGCAGCATATTCAGTTAATACATACTTTGTGCCAGGCATGGTTGTGCTTGCCTCAGCTCAGGAGGCTGAGGCAGGAGGATTCTAAGTTTGAGGCCAGCCTTAGCAATTTAGTGAGGCCCTATGCAACTTAGCAAGACCCATCTCAAAATCAAAAATGAAAAGGGCTGGGTGTAGTTCAGTGTTAAAGTGCCCTGGATTCAGTCCCCAGTACCAGAAGGGAAAAAATATATACGTTGTATGTGGTTCTAAAACTTCCAGCATTTAGCAAAACGGTATCTCAGCCAGTACTCCTTTGATGTTGTTTATGTAGTTACATCATCCTTAACTAAGTTGTTTGCCACTGAGTTAAAAATATCTTCTGTAGTTTAGCTTATTCCCCTGTCTGCTTTTTTCCTGCTTTGCTATCTTAAGTTTGTGTTAACTACAGTAAAAGAAAATATGTTTATAGAGCAGGAAAGAATTGACCCCTTTATTTATTTATTTATTTATTTATTTATTTATTTATTTATTTAGGTACTGGGGATTGAACTAGGATGCTTAACCACTGAGCCACATCCCCAGCTCTTTTTATTTTTTATTTTCAGATGGGGTCTCACTAAGTTGCTGAGGGTCTCGCTAAGTCTCTGAGGCTGGCCTTGAACTTGCAATCCTCCTGTTTCAGCCTCCCAAGTCACTGGGATTGCAGGCATGTCAACCACACCTGGTGGTTCTTATGTTTTTGAGAAAGGAATGGTAAATCTTGCTGTTCGGAAGGAATATACTGTATTTAAAATTCTTTTTCTTTTCTTTCTTCCTTTCTTTCTTTTTTGGCAGTACTAAGGATCGAATCCAGAGGTGTTCTACCACACAGCTACATCCTCAGCCTTTTTTAGTTTTTATTTTGAAATGGCCTCACTGAGTTGCCAAAGCTGGCCTTGAACTTGCTAACCCCCTACCTTAACCTTTGGGATCATTGGAATTATAGGCAGGTGCCCTGACTTCTGGCATATTTACAGATGTTGTTTGTGATATGCCAGGAAAAGGAGTACACAGTAATAAGACAGGGTCTTCTAGAGACTTGGGAGGCTGAGGTAGAAGGATTACAAGTTCAAGGCCAGACTGGACAACTTAGTGATACCCTATCTCAAAATAAATACAAAAAAGACTGGGAATGTAGGTCAGTGGTAGAGAGCCCTGGGTCAAATCCTGAAAATACACACACACACACACACACACACACACACACACACACAAAGAAAAATAACAGCAACAACAACAAAACAGGCATCCATGGTTATATTTGCATTAGATCATTGACTATAGTCAATAAGACTAGAGATAAGGAGACAGGTGATTCACAAAAGGAGACTTAAAGGAGAGCTAACTTTATTGAGAATTTACTATGTGCCAGACACTCTTCTAAGTGCTTTATAATAGCAGGTTGTTTAATTTTCAAAATGAATCTCTAAGGGAGACACTAATCCCACTTTGTAGATGATCAAAATGAAGCAGAGCAGTTTCCTCAAAGTATGGACAGCTAGAAAGTGACTTGAACTGTAATGTGAACCTGAGCACCATGGCCTTAGAACCTATACTCTTAAACACAAATTAATGAAATATTGAGAATATAAAATCAACAGGACAGGTAATAAGTGGAATGTGGCAAGTGAAGCAAGCTAGTGTCAGTTTTCAGCTGAGAGAGAGAGAGAGAGAGATATTATCCTATAATTAATTATAAGCTTTCAGTTAGCCATTGACTCTGTCCTTGGAAACACAAGTTTATTGGAAAGTTGAACTATAAAAAGTAGAGTAAATAGTAATAGTCCCAGCCCATTGTTTTTCAAATGGGCATGATCTTTTTTGCTTTATCTCTTGATAAAGACTATTTCTGGATAGTCACACATAAAATTTTTTAACAAGTGATGGTCTCAGTGTAGTTGTGGAAAATATGCTATATTCTTTTTTTGTATTATGTCAGCTGAGATGTTTTTTCAGGAAGTGGCAAGAGAGAAATACATAATAGTTATATAATCTGGCTTGAAAATGAAATTATATATTTGAAATGCTTTCCAAACTTACTGTTTTGGAATTGGTGTATTAAGTCCTGAATTGGTAAAAACAAGTTGGATTTTATGAAAAACTAAATAACTTTTGTTTTGGAGAATATTTTAAATAATCTTAAAGTATGTTTTTGACGAATCATAGATTTTAGGACATATTATACCTGAGTTTATTTTACTATACAATAAATTTTTACTAGTGATAAAGTAAAACTTTATAATAGTTGTTTGAAATTAGAAAATTTTTTTGTTAGCTATCGAAATATTTGTTTAGAGAATTCATATTTTGGAAGCAAAAATTTAGTTAAAAATTAAAAAAAGTATGAATATTTTCACAAAACATTTAATTTTAACAATATTTATAGAATATGTATGTCAGTCTGCTTATCTAAATTTTTTTTCCTTGTTTTTTAATTTTTAGTAAAATCTTTTCATTTAGTGAATATTTGTGGAGTGCCTGCAAGGTGAGGGAGCATGTATTTGGTTCTGGGGAAAGAACACTGCAAGGCAGATGTCCTCTTCACACACCTGGTCTTGGCTAATTCTTATACTATTTTCTGGTGTGTGTTTGTGTGTGTATGTGTGTGGAGTGTGTGTATGTACACACATGTGTGCTAGATAAATGGAGATGGGTGGCAGGTTCTCTTGCAACTAGAATTCATCTGATAATCTCAGTAATTATTCTTTTTATTTTATGTTAGAGGTACTTATGAGCAGATGTGTAAAAACTAAACCTAAAGTAGTTGAGCAACTTTTGATTGTCAGTATTTTAAAAAGTTTTCAGGAAGTACGTAGAGTTCAAGAATGCATAAATGTACTGATATAATATGTGATAATATATTATATTACCTGTAATTTTGGAATAATGAATACGTAGTTGCACTATATATAGAAACAGTGAAATTCCACAGTTGAGTAGATTACATATCAGAATTTTTTTTTTAAACAAATAACAAAGACTCCAGTATAGTCCAACATGGGTTATATGCCAGCTACCATCCTAACATCCCAAATTTCTAACTAGGTCTTGATTGCTCTGTATTTTCACATGACATCTTCCATAATGAGACTCCTTTTCTTAGTCTATTACTGATCCCCACCTCGTTTGAGGTTATAAACTCTTTGAACCTAAAATCTCTTATTTCTCTTTCATTAGGAGAAATGTATCTTTCTTAAGGTTATTGGTTGGAATATTACTTTCAGGTATTTGGGAATATAGCTTTTCATGCTATCCTTAATGAGATAGATTATCATTGTATTTAAAATCTTTACTTGATCCAACCTAAAATCTCAAAGGGATTGAGTTTAATAAAGACACATTATGTTGAGTTTACCAGTTTTTTACTTTCTGAGATACAAACTGTTAAGAATCTTTACCCGTTTCATCTGCACTTCAGAAATAATATAAAATAATAAAAAGATGGCAAGATATCAAGCTGTGATCGGGCTCTAGAAAGTAATAGTAGTATAAATGAATTAATTCTGATGTTGGCCCGAATGTGCTAACATTATCCCTAAAAGAGACATCAAGGAGATACTGATTTAGAGCTCAGCTCATCCTGCAATTAAAAGGATATATTAAAAGATTTGTGATATTATCTATGAAGAGTTTAGACCCATAGAAAAAAACTTAATGTGAAATATAATTTATATAATAATTAAATTTTAATTTTTCTTAAAAGGTATCCTATAAACAATTCTATAGTTTATTAGGAGGAGCATGGTATTTAAAGTGAAGATGTGTATATATATTATTTTTTTAAAATATCTTTGAAATGTCTATTCAAGATGAGCTCACATCTCAGCTGTATATCCTTCAAATAACCAAATTGTATCCAGTTTCATATGTGGCAGGTATAGTTGGCATAAATTTTTGAGCCAAACTCTGTTTTGCCTTTATATTACTATGGTAGATTCTCAATTTTCTAACTTTGTAGGGTGAATTAAAACAATTCAGATTCAATAGTGTGTTTCCTATAAAAATATAGTTAGCAGTTTTTAAATTTAAAAATTCTATTATAGTAATTAAATACTGTGATATATCTCAATTCTTATTGTTAATAAATTAGTCTTAATCATAATTACTCTTGAGGATTCTCTGGATTTTCTCTGGCCTGAGTGTAATAAAGGCTTTAAGATCAATTTCACTTTTTTTTCAATATTAAATAAATTGATTAATCTTAATTTTATTATAATTAAATAACCCCTAAATTTAATAGACACAAAATTCATCCTTTGGTTCCTTGTTATAGATTATTATTGTTAATACAATTACTAATTTGTGATTAAGTGCTCCCTACTGTATGCTTGCCTTGCTTTCACCTAGAATCTAGGGCCATTACTTTCTGTAACCATTTCAGTGAGCTGCCATAGTTTTCAGTCTGTACTGTCACCTGATCCAAGCATGCGCCAAAATATCACTGTTCCTGGCTCCTGTATGCTGAATCTGCTTTGCAAACCCTTTGTTCCTTGAGCTTTTGCTTTAGCCAAAAACCAAAGTTAACAAATTATCTGGATATGGACATATACCATTTGCTTCCTTAGCTCCCATGCTGTGTAACTCTCTAGCTTTTTATTAAACTTGTAAATACTTTATTAAATACAATAATGGCATTCCCATGTGCAGTTGTGTGGCTCATGTGTCAAAATAAAGGCTGCTTGTGAATTTGTAAGAAGAATATGAATGCTCCACTTGCGTGCGCTGCATTCAGCTTTTCCGTGTTTTTTCTTTTTTGTTGTTGTTTTTTTAATCAACCACTTACTCTTTCATGGTGTTTGGTTTAATTACCTGGTTATTATATGTGTTATACCAAGGTAAGTTTGATATAAGGTAACTTCTGTATTCTATGTGGTTACACGTATTTCATAGGAATTATTACATATTTTTCCATTTAAATTGTTGGCCATTTCTAAATAAATATTTTTTTAACTTACAATAATAAGTAGCTTTCTCTATTTTTAAAATTAATTCTTAAAGTAATGTGGATTATTTCCTGTAAAATTTGTTTTTAAACCAGAGAAGATACTTCATGTTACTTATGGTATAGATGTAGGCAAACCTATTGTAAGAAGATCTATTCTTTTAAAAAATATAGTATACAATTATTGGCTTTAGGAAATAATATTTTAAACTTCCCAAGTGCTTTAAAAAGTAAGTAGCAGATTCTAATAGTGAGTTTAAGGAAGTTGGGCTTTTTATTTCATGTAGTCTTTTAGGAAAACAGTTATTTTCTAAACTGAATTATACTTCTGTTATTATTTGTGATATGTTTTCTCAGCATCAGAAATAATTTGATAGATGAGGACAACAGCTTGAGTAATTGTTTGTCTTATACAAGATTCTCTTTTAGGAAAGGATGTTAAATGGATGTTCAGAGTGGTACACAAGCACGTGTGTCTTAGAAGAAAAAGCAAGTTTGAGCTTGAAAGTCTATCTGTGCTGTTTATGTACACATTTCTGTTACGAATGTTAAGAAAAACTTAGACATGTAGTATTTGTGCAAAATAGGGCATCCTAATTGTTTCACACATTTCTTAATTTCATAGTATTGAGTGCTAACAGATTGTAGTCTTTTCTATTTCTCTTCCTTCTTTATTTTATCTTGTACTTTGATCTTTCCTCAGTTTCCTGAAGTCTGTATTCTTTCTTTTCTTCTTAAAGAAAGTTTTAGGGTAGCTCTGTCTTGGATCCAAAACTTAAATTCAAGAACTGGCTGGCATAATTTTTAGTTCTGCCTTTTATCTCCTCATTTCTGCCTTTTGCTGCTCTCCTCCCTGTGGAGGAAACAATCACTTCATAGGAATGTGACCTATAACAAGCTTCCTAATCTTTTTTACTTTGCTGTCTTCACTATTTTAATAGTGAGTATAATTCCACTTACTCTACTTATTTTGAAATGGATATATACTGCAATTTAAAAATAGAAAGTTGTGTTGGATTGTTTGGTTTTCAGTTTTAATAGTTCTTTTTCTATGGAAACTTTACAATAAGAGCTTAGCACCCTATTTAAAGTTGTTTAAATTTTCAAATTGTTCCCAGATGGGAATAGGCCATAAAAAGAAACAAATCAGGATATGCTAATTATAGACTGTTGAGTTCTGTTTTTAACATCTTTGCTGGTAAAAACTTAACTCTAATTTGCAGCTGCTGTTCACCAATAGTTTGCAGCTAAATGCAAGTGATTAGGAAGTATGTGTGACAGCTATTACTTTTAAAATGCTCTATTGCAAGCAATATTAGACTTCCCTGTGGCAATAAAATATAATTCTGCTAGACTAAGCTTTTCTTGTCTTTTTTTTTTTCAGTGCCAGGAATTGAACCCAGGCCTCCCGCATGCTAGGCAAGCACTTTACCACTGAGCATACAGCCTCAGACGTAAAGAGCCATATAAAAGTTTATTATGTTCAATCTGAAATTTGTCCTTCTATATATTAGCCAAATATATATATATAATCTTTTAGATGTATTTGCTTTCTTTTTTTTTTATTGACCAATCCCCTTATTTCATGTCACTTGATCTAGCACCCACATCTGTGTAGAAGGATGGCTGCATATAGCTTTCTCTCTCTCTCTCTCCCCTTTTATTAAAAAATATTTTTTTAGTTGTAGATGGACACAATAACTTTATTTTTATGTGGTGCTGATGATCGAACCTAGTGCCTCACACGTGCAAGGCGGGCGCTCTACCACTGAGCTACAGACCCAGCACAACTTTTTTTCTTTAAACATTGACAAGTCTTTGTATTTGAAAAAACCTAGACTATAGTGGATTATAAAAAAAAAATGAAATCAGAATTTTTATTAACTTTATGGATGTGACACATAAGCCACACAGGTGAGACATAGGGTATTATCTTGGTGAAGGTTAGAATCTGGAAACTCTAGGTCTACATTTTAAGTTGTATCTAATAAAATACATACCTATAGGTGTCCCTTAAAGTAATAAAGCAAACAGTTGAGTGGTTTGTTTTCTAGCAACCAATTTAAAAATGTTAAATCTTTTGCTTTTTGAGAAGTAGCATTTTAAAGATGTTAAGTTTAAAAATGTTGTAGAGCAGTACTTCTTTATCTCAAATAGTATGTTTATTTTCAACATTGCTTATTCTTAAAGACAATGTGCTGTTGAGTAGTGAACTGATTTAAAATTTATTTTTCAGATGAACCGGAAACTCGAGATGCATGGTGGGCAGAAATCAGACAAGAAATAAAATCACATGCTAAAGCCTTAGGCTGTCATGCTGTAGTGGGCTACAGTGAGTCAACCAGCATCTGGTAAATGACGACGACAACTTGGCTTTTCAGACACTGGAATCTAGCTTGTCATGTGAAAGGAGAAAAAGCTTTATGCAGATGTAAAGCAAAGAATAGGAGGGTCAAGAGCTTGGCCCTTAGGGTGCTTTGGGCCACATTTAATGTGCCATCTTTCCCACTTAATCACTGTGAAGCTTAGGGAACATTGCTCAACTCCTCTGAGAGCTTCAATTTATTCATTAAAATTGAGAAAACAAAACCTGTCCAATTAAAGTCCTCCAGGGAGTAAATGAGAGTATTATACTGGCATATAGCAAGTATAAACACTATTTTACTACATTTCATGAGTTTGTAGACTTTTTCCTTACACTGAAATATTTGGAACTCTTGATTTTTTTTTTTTTTTTAATAAATGAATTAGCAAGTGTCTTAAAAGTTTGTAAACTTATTCTACCTCCATTTACTAACTGGAATATAACTTTATTCTGCTAACAAATCATCCTTTCTAACTCTTCCAAGGTAGGGAGGGGCTTCCATATCCTCAGTTCTCAGCTCCTTTTTCTCTTTCATTTGAACAGCTTGCCTTCCTTTAAAATCAGAGCCATTTTACTGTTCACAGCCCTACCTCCACACATTCTTCTGCTTTTTATTACTTGTCTTCTATTTCTTCCAATTACATATTCTTTCTAGTTGCCTGGGTTGAAGCTTCTCATGTCAGAGTCCTTTATTGCCATTTGACTTTCAACCATATTTCAGACCTCATTATCTCTCTCCCCTAGCCCAGTGCTGGGGATAGAACGCAGGGGCACTACCACAGGGCTGCATCCCCAATCCTTTTAATTTTTTATTTTGAGATAGAGTTTCAAATAAGTTGTCCAGGCTGGCCTCAAACTTGCTATCTTCCTGCCTCAATCTTCTGAGTGGTTGGGTTATTGCCTCTTAAAACTATTTCATTAAAAAAATTTGAAATTCTAAAATTTTACTCTCAGATAATAATATTTTTCCACCAACTCATTTGCTCATTTATACCTCATTTCTTTTGACCTGTATTAAGTATTTTCTCATTTTCTTTCCTCAGTTCTGAGTTGACTTCTGTTTTGCCATCCTTGAACCCTACTTTCAGCCTCTTCAAAATTTATGATTAAAATTTATTCTGCTAAATCATCAAAGGATGATTTGTTAGCAGAATAAAGTTACATTCCAGTTAGTAAACAGAGGTAGAATAAATTTACAAACTTTTAAGACACTTGGTAATTCATTTATAAAAGATCAAGAGTTCAAAATATTTCAGTGTAAGGAGTCTACAAAGTCATGAACTGTAGTAAAATAGTGTTTATACTTGCTATGTGCCAGTATAATACTCTCATTTACTCCCTGAAGGACTTTTATTGGATAGGTTTTGTTTTCTCCATCTTAATGAATAAGTTGAAGCTCTCAGAGGAGTTTAGCAATGTTCCCTAAAATTTATGAAAAATTTATGATATGTCACCTAGAAGCTGTTTTACTTTCCTATTTTCCACCTTCTATTCTTGGGTAATTCTTTTTCTTTTTTTTTCTTTCTCTAGTTCTTTCTTTCTTTTTCTTTTCCTTTTCTTTTCTTCTTTTTTTTTTTTTAAAGAATTTAACCTTTATTTTATTGTTTTTATGTGGTGCTGAGAATCAAACCCAGGGTCTCACTCCTGCTAGGCAAGCACTTTACCCCTGAGCTACAAACCCCGGCCCTCTTGGATAATTCTTAATGCCAGATTCTCTGCTCTTTGGCTATTATTATTTTAGAGAAAAATAAATGTGGTAAATGTGAGTATTATGGGGCCATGCTATTCACTCTTTGGTGGTCCTTTTCTTTTCTGTAGCAGACCATATATTATACATTTGAACTACTCTATTCCTGTGGTAGCTATTCTACTCTAGGTAATTACCAGCTTTGTAATGCTTGTTTTGCTGTATTCTCTGACAGATGGTCTTACCTCATTCATAGATTTAGTTTCATAGGCTTTCAGGTTCAAGTGATATCAAGTGATATGATTTTAAAAGACATAGTTCTTACCATCAGATTTACATTTCCTCCTGGAGAATTGTGACATGTGTAATCCATTTTATGATTAGAGATTTACCAGTACACTTCAAGATTCCAGAGGGCTGAAAATCAAAAGGAGGATAGAAATAAAGTGTTAATGATGTAACTATTACTTGAACTTAATCTTGAGAGATGAATATGCATTATGTAAATGAAGAGAAAAGTCACAGGGCATGTTCAAAGCTAAAGATGTAGCAAATGAAGAATGCCAAAGGGTATGGCATGGCTGAAGATAGGTCACAGGTGCCTGAGTCTAAGTATTAGGCCATTAAATTAAGGAGGGATCACAGGTGCAAGAGTCTGTTTTATATATCAGTCCAGTGAATTTACTTAGAAGTTCAAATTCATCTGCCAGAAATTCCCTTTTTCCCCCCTAGACCTTAAAAACAAAAAATCTTTGTATTTATATACTATCTTGACTATTTTTTTCTGTTCTAACCCATCCTGTTTAGTGTTCTAGATTAAACTCTTTGAGGTGCACTCTGCTTTGGAACCTCTTAACTCAGAGCCTTTGCAAGCTCATGTTATTCATTCTGAAATTGCCCTCGTACCTTTTATGCCTTGCATTCTTGTACTTACTCATGATTCACATGACTGTTTCTTTTGTATATTTCTATGCTTCTGTTCCATTTACTCCTTGTTTCTACATTTTGTCCCTGGGCTGCTACTTGTCTTATTTGTTTTGGGTGATAGCCTTCAGTAGTTATGTTGATATGTTTTATTATTTTAGCTTTCAAAACAGGTGATATATAAAGAATTTTAAAAATTATTTTAAAATCAATTTTCTATCATATTTTGATCTATAGTAAGCTCCATTTAGTATATTTTGAATAATATCTTAGGCACCTTTATAATTGTTCAAATTCAGAGTAAGCTATAGCAATATAGATATTTACATAGTTAAACTTTTAGAATAGTTTTAATAAAACTTTATATGCATTAAGAAAGTATTCTAATATAATGTAGTGGATTATTATTGGATCCAACAATGTTGTATGTTACTGCTTATAGTTTGAAACATTTAAATCTTCCAAGTAGCTATTGTTATTAATATTATGCTTCACCTTTTTTTTCAATTTTTAATTTGTAGAGAATTCTTGCCCTCTCCATTTTAATAAAGTTACTTCCATTTTTTATCCCAGATTTAGAAGGTAAATCCTGTGGTATTATTCAATATTTAGTAAAGTCTAATTTGAATTTATCACTCTTGTAATAATTTTGGTATTTAGCATTTTCCAAAGTTATATTGCCTGAAAATATTCACTTGTTTGTATTTTTCCTGTTTTACAGTGAAGAGGTCTGTATTTTATCAGCATCTGGCACAGCGGCTGTTCTGAACCCTCGATTTCTGCAGGATGGCACCGTGGAAGGCTGTTTGGAACAGAGGTTGTCATGGCAGCCTGCCTTATTTTCTGTAATGGCAGAGAAGGGAGAGGTTGTCTCCTTTTTTTCCCCTCAGAACCAGAATAGTTGTCTAATAGGGTGACTTACAGTGGTACAGTATAGAAATTGGGACGTGGCACTTTACTGATGTTTAACTAACCTTTGGTAACAGGTAAGTATGGGGTTTAGCACTGTATTACACACAATATTTCTATCACGATAAGTGACACGTGTGACTATAGTTTTAGTCCACTCTTGCTTTGCTGTGACCAGTACACCTGATGAGAACAGTGTAGAGGAGGAAAAGTTTATTTTGGCTCAGGGTTTCAGAGATTCAGTCCATGGTTGGCAGAGTCCATACCTCAGGATTGGAGGGGAGTGGCAGAGGAAAGCGGTATAGAACATGTGAATATCAGAAAGCTGACAGAGAGCTGCACTCATCAAGGACAAAATCAAAACCCCAAAGGCATGCCTCCAGTGATTTACTTTCATACCCTGCCTGCCTACAGATAACCACCCTGTTAATTCGTATCAGTAGAATAATCCACCAATTAGTTTACAACTCTCATAATCGCTTCACCTCTGAGCATTCTTGCATTGTCTCATACATGAGCTTTTGGAGGATAGGACATATCTAAACCATAGCAACTACCAATTGAGGAATTTTTTGACTTTGTTATAATATAGAAATTATTTTGACTTTGCCTTTCTTTCCCCCTTATGCCTACTTCAAAAACAAAATAGAGGCCATGAAATAAGATTAAAAAAAAAAGTTCTTATTTCAGAAAAATAATCAAATCACTATACTGTATAAAATTACAGATAAAAACTTCATGGAAAGTGACTGTAGTATTTGTAAAACAGAAAGTAAAAGTATTAGGTAAAATAAACTTTGTGACTGACTTAATTATTTAGTCCCTTTGAACTTTTGTTACTGACAATATCAAAATGTTTTTCATAAACAGACAAAACCATCAATTGTATATATAAACATTGTTTTTTTTAAGCATATACATGCACATAAACTATTGGTTTGATATCAGAGTCTACCTGAATAAAATTTATTTTAATTATGCTTTATGACACAATGTGCATGCTTGCTTTCTTCCCCAGTATTAATATATTAGTTATGAATTAAGTAAGGAAATTAAAATAATTCTATATTTGGTCAAATTTAGTATAAATTGGCAAATCTGAATATTACCAATATATTTTAGCTCTAGTCAAAAGAGAACCTTGGTAAGTTCTTCTTTTGTCAATATTTAAATGGATGTTGGCCATTCTGTATTCCAGAACCTCAAAAGTTATAAATAGGTCCATTTTAAAGTGTGTTAAACAATTATAATATTCTGTTGAGAAAACTGCCTTTGCCAGTTAATTTTCTCACTCCTGAAATATGGTTCTTAACACTTCAGTAGATTTAATTCCCTTTTTTTTTAAAAAAAATATTCTTTTTAGTTGTTGATAGACCTTTATTTTATTTATTTACATGTGGTACTGAGAATCGAACCCAGTGCCTCATTCATGCCAGGCAAGTGTGCTACCACTGAGCCCAAGCCCCAGCCCAGATTTGTGTGTGATTCATGCTGGGGATTGAACCCAGGGTCTCAAATATGCTAGGCAAACTACATTCAGCTACCACTGAGTTACATACACACCCTGCTAGATTTAATTCTTAAGTAATTAGAAGCCTATTTTAATAAATTATTTTTCCCATTTTTGGATTTTTCTGTTTTGTGGCTTAGGTATGTGTAGTAAATTTTCTAATATGCTAGTCCAGGACAACAGATGCCATCCCTAGTTGTGAACAAAAAAGCTTATGTTTTTTCCTGTTATAAAATTATCAGTGCTTTCGCTGAGTTTGATTCTCAGCACCACATAAAAATAAATAAATAACAACTAAAAAAAATTTATCAGTGCTTTCTAAAAAATTTTTTTTCAAAGAATGTAGAATAAAAGGCAAATTTCAAATGTTTTCGGAAATTTTCATGCTTTTATTCTTATCTCTTATAATGATGTATCACTTATGTTCAAATTTGTGTGAAGTGTTTAGTTAAACCTTGTTGTGGTTTACCCCTTCCTAATATGGACTTTGGGTTCACGCTGAAATTCAAATATGAGGTCTGCTACTTTGTATTAAGTGTGACTTAGCAAGTTAATTTTCTGGGTTAATTTCAAGTGAAGAACTAGTATTAGTTATTATTAGCATGTTAGTTATTATCAGTATTATTAGTATAGTTAGGAACTAGTATTTGCTGCTGTTTGCTAGGTATTACATTGAGTTTGGGATATACGTTTAGCTGTAGTTTTCTTAATTTTCAAAAACACTCACAAACATTTCTAGGTAGGTGTTACATTTTCATAGAGGAGGCTCTGAGACGTTAAGTAACTTATTCAAGGTCATACAGTTTACTCAGATCTGTCTTGACTTCCCTCATATTTCTAACATATGAAATGCTGTTTCTACAGTAGAATAATAACAACTAGGAATAATGTAATGTGATTTAGAGGGTTATTATGAAAATTCAATGAAAAAATGTATATAAGAAATCTATAGATTGCCTGTCTTCTAGTATATATAGTGTGAGTTTTCCTTCTCCCCTTTTAAAATTTGTCTGCTTGCCATATTTAATCTAGTAGGCTTCCGTAGGTTAGAGAGATCTAGACACATCTTTCCAGAGCTCTAGAAGATATGGCTGTTGGAAAGTTTGGGGTTCTCTGAGGAGCTTCACTCTGTTTCAGTTCTTGTCTTGATTTTTTCAAATTTAGTGACTGAAAACATGTATCATTATTTTAAAATGAATTCACAAATAGGCATTTTACAGTGAATGGGGAGGAGTAGATGGTTTGCTTGTGGCTTATTTATGATATGTATGTCATTTATGACATTGGCATTTGGTTTGTCAGAAGTGTTAGAATTTGGTCATTGGAAATTAGAAGTCTTAGCGAGTATACTTATTTTTAACTTACCTGCATTTCTTTGTAAATGCATTTGTTTTTATGTCAATGTTTTCGAATTAACTACTATATGAAAACATTAATATAAAATAAATGCATTTACAAATAAAAACAAGTATTTTTTTTAAACAACTTAATTAACAAGTAAGTTAATTGTAAAATGTTCTTTTTCCCTAAGAAATTTTTTTGTGCTTACTTTTGTCAGTTAGTAGGAAAATGTCACCCTTATTGTCCATCCATCTGTTTTTATATAGTATCTTTGTAACAATGGTAAGCTGATGAGTCATCAAAGTTGGTACAAAATGGCTTTCTATTTTAAAGCTACTCATAGAAACAATGTACAGATCTGATTTTATGGTCATTTGTAATTCTTACCAGTCAAATTGGTACTCTTACTCCTGTGGTAGAAGTTATATAGTTTGTATAGAAGTACTATGTATGTAATATTTGTTTCTGAAAAAAAATTATAGGTTTTCAAGAATGCCTTTTTTATTTTTGGTGTGTGTGCTGAGAACTGAAAAATTCTTTCTTTCTTTCTTCATTTTTCTTAATGTATTTATATAGGCTTGAAGAAAATTTGCCTGCAGGCTGTGGATTTTGCCATATACCATATGATGAACTGAATATGCCATTTCCAGCTCATCTCACATACTGCTATAGTTGCAGGAAACAAAAAGTTCCTGATGTTCTCTTTACAACTATAGACCTCCCAATAGATGCAATAGTTATTGGAAAAGGTTGTCTTATTCAAGCAAGGTGTGTTTGTAAATACAGTATTTGTGTTCCCCAAAAAAATTATCAGGCATGGAATTATAAAGATTTATTGTTTCCTACCTATTTGATCCTGGATAGGCTGTGCAGTTCTACTGGAACCTTGTATTTTATTCCATGTACTTTAGGAGGAAAAATATCTCTGTATAAAACTCAAATAAGTTTATGTGCAGAAAGAGTTTTTAAATATTTAAATGCTGTATAAATGTTCATCATGGTTATTATTAACCTCTTTATAGGCTAGGGATATTACTAGCATAGATTGCTTAAATGACATTATATATATGTTTTAGTTAGCTTTTTTGCCACAGTGACCAAAAGACCTGTCAAAAACAATTTTAGAGGAGAAAAAGTGTATTTGGGGCTCATATTTTCAGAAATTTTAGTCCATAGAAGGCTGACTTTACTACTCTGGAACCAAGATGAAGTTGGACATCCTGGTAGAAGTACATGAAGGAGGAAAACAACTCAGGACATGGCAACCAGGAAGCATGGAGAACTGGGACAAAATATAAACCCAAAGACAGGGACTGGGGATATGGCTCAGTTGGTAGAGAACTTTCCTTGCATGTACAAGGCCCTGGCTTCAATCCCCAGCACCACAAAAAAACAAAACAAAACAAAACAAAAATCCAAAGACAGGCCCCCAGTGACCAATCTCCTTCAGCAACACCCTACCTGCCTATAGCCACCGCCCCATTAATCCAATCAGTGAATTAATTTCACTGATTAGGTTTAGCTCTCATGACTTAATGGTTTCACCTCTGAAAATTCTTGCATTGTCTAATTCTTGAGCATTTGGGGGATACTTCCTATCTAAACCATGACAATGTATATTGTGAAAATTGACCTTTTCTTTCAAAAAACAGTACTATGTGGTGTTTCTTTTACTGCTTCACTTAACTGTTGAGAGTTTCTTCCAAAAATACACTAGAGTAGGACATTCTAAATTGTGACACACAGCAAACAGCTGTAACTGTCTAGGTTCTCACCAACTGCAAGGTTACCAAGTCCTTTGGACATTTCTGTCCTCATTTTGCTTGACATCTCACTAGTTAGTGACACAGTTGGTCATTTTCTCCTTTTTGAAATTTCTCTTAACAGTGTCACACCTTCTGTTTTTTCCTACCTCTCTATATGGCCTTTAGTGTCTTTGATGACTCCTCATTTTGTGATTTTTGAGAGTGATGGGTTTGGACCCTCTGTCAATTTGTAAATCTATATGCTATCTATATGTCCATGACTCTTAAATTTATAATTCTAAATAACATACTTCTATTCTTCAGATTCATACACCTGTCTACTTCACATCCTGTTTTGATATATCACAGACATCTCGTGCTTGTTCCAAGTAGAACTGCTGATTTTCTTATCATCTTTCAGATTGTTTCTTTTCTTTTTTAAAAAAATATTTATTTTTAGTTGTAGTTGGACAAAATACCTTTATTTTATTTATTTATTTTTATGTGGTACTGAGGATTTAACCTAGTGCTAGGTGAGAGCTCTATTGCTGAGCCGCAACCCCAGCCCAGATTGGTCTTTTCTTTTTGAAAAAAAAAAAAAGACTACCTTTCTCTACCCAATTCTTCATGCCAAATTTGGTCTTTGATATTGTCCTCTTTCTCAACCTCTCCCTATCAAATTCATTACAAAGTCATGTTGAATTTTCTTCTGAAATATATTCCTAAGTAATTCTTTTAATGCATCTATTGGTGATGAACCATCTCTTTTGTTTGTCTGAAAAATGTGTTTACTTTTATATTTAAAACATAATTGGGGTTGACAGTTATTTCCTTACAGTTCATTAAAGTTAGTTTTTTTAAAAAATATAATTTTTAGTTGTTGATGGGCCTTTAATTTATTAATTTATTTATATGTGGTGCTGAGAATTGAACCCAGTGCCTCACACATGTGAGACAAGTGCTTTACCACTGAGCCATAATCCCAGCCCTGAAGATAGCTTTTTATTACTGCCTTTTGGCTTTTATTGCTACTGTTGAGAAATAATAATATTAGTCTGTTCTCCCTTTGAAGGTAGACTTTCTGGTCTAAAATAGATGCTTTTATATTCTTTTTTTAAAAAAATTTTAAAATTTTATTGAATTATATATGACAGCAGAATGCAATTAAATCCATATTACACAAATAGAGCATAATTTTTCATGTCTCTGATTGAACACAAAGTAGAGTCACACCATTCGTATGTTTCCATACATGTACTTAGGGTAATGATATCAGTCTCATTCCACCGTCTTTTCTACCCCCGTCTTTCCTACCCCCATGCCCTGCCTTCCCCTCTGCCCTAGCTAAAGGTCGTCTATTCTTCCCATGCTCCCCGCTCTCCATCCCCATTATGAATCAGCATCCTTATGTCAGAGAAGACATTAGGCATTTGTTTTTTTGCGATTGGCTTACTTCACTTAACATTATATTCTCAAACTCCATCGATTTACCTGAAGTTGCCATGATTTTATTTATTTTTAATGCTGAGTAACATCCAATTGTGTATATATCTACCACATTTTCTTTATCTAGTTTTGTGTTCTTTTAATGAGTAAAATATTTTTTTTCCCTTTGCTAGTCATCTGTCGTATGATCATTGGCAGTTTGGAATGTTAGATTTTAAATTATATTGTCTAGTGATTTGATCAATATTATTTCATTGAAACATTTTGAAATTTTTTATTTCTTTTTTTTTCTTGGTGATGCTGGGGATTGAACCCAAGATCTGTGCATGTGAGGCAAGCACTCTACCAACTGAGCTATGTCCTCAGACTGAATTTTTTTATTTCTGTTTATTGAAATAAGACTTAAAATAAATTTTACAGTTGTAGATGGAAAAAATGCCTTTATTTTGTTTGTTTATTTTTATGTGTGCTGAGGAGGGAACCCACTGCTTCACGTATGCTAGGCAGGTGCTCTATCATTGAGCTAAAACCCATCCCGAAATAAGACTTACAGTGAGTTTACATAGTAATAAAAATGGCAGAAAATATTATTGATGTAACTTAATAAGCCGATTTGGAACAAATAAATGTTTTATTAAGTACACTTCTGGAAAGTTTTTCAACTTTTTGACATTTCTTAAGATAATATCAAGAATACTGTCCACTGACTGAATTATTCTTCTTTACAGGTTATGTCGCTTAAAAAAGAAAGCACAGGCAGAAGCAAATGCTACAGCTATCAGTAATCTCTTGCCATTTATGGAATATGAAGTACATACTCAGCTAATGAATAAACTAAAACTCAAAGGAATGAACGCTTTGTTTGGACTAAGAATCCAGATCACAGTGGGTGAAAATATGTTGATGGGCTTAGCAGTAAGTTTAGAAACTTTTGGTTTTATGATTTCTGTTGTTGTAGTAGATTCTGTTTTATGGGAGTCATTCTTTTAAAAAGTCTTAGTTGAAGAAACTCATCAAGACCTGCAATGGTTGGGGCGTTTTTAGGTAGAGAAGACTCTGGTGTAGGTTTTCACATATTTTAAAGGGACTGTAACCATAACTATAAAAGTTAAATATCTAAAAATTATCATTTTTAACTTATTAGTAAGTTGACCACTATGGATCCAGATTTTATTATTGTTTACAAATTACTGAAACAGGGTTTTTACCTCTTGGCACTGTTGGCATTTGTGCAGGGTGACTCCTTGTTTCTGGGTACTGCTTCTTCATTGTAGATGTTAAGCACCATACCCACTGTATGCTAATGCACCTTTCTAGTTCTGATAACCAAACATGTTTGCAGACATTGCTAAATGTTTTCCTGCCTATTGTTAGAGAAGTAAGCTTTATCATAAACTTGTACCTATGGCTAACAGTGGAATGTGTAATAAAATACTTGTATGTATATCTTTTTTTTCCCCATGCAGGGGATTGAACTCAGGGCCTTGCATATTCTAGGCAAACTCTGTACCACTGAACTACGCTCCAGCCTTTTAACTTTTTATTTTGAGATAGAGTTTTGATAATTTGCCCAGGCTGGTCTCAAACTTGTGATCTTCCTGCCTCACTTTCCAAGTAGCTAAGACTATAGGCATGCACCATCATGCCTGGCAAAATGTGTGTTTTTAAGTGCCAGTAAAATGTGAGACTGGTTAAAACTCTGTTTCCATTTCATGTTCCCCTTGTTTTATGAGAAAATGAGTTCTGTCTGGAAAGATGTCAATGGAGAAAGTTTGTAAATAGCAAAGGACCCAGAGAAGTAGGTGTTTGCAAACCATAATGATCATAGGAATCTAATCAGTATTTTTGGAAATTCTTTTGTTTTCTAGATACTTTGCTAGCCAGGATTTTTGTCTGTGTTACTGGCAATTTTCAAATTTGAATTCTCTTGGCATCTTTCTAAGACATGCGTAGATGTTTAATTTTAAGAATTTATGGAACTTGGAATTTTTTTTAGTATATCTTTTTTTATTTTGTAGATAAAATGCCAAATTGCTTACTATTTCATGTGTCTTTTGTATAAGAGCAAATATATAAATTTTTGTATGTAGGGGAGAATTGTTTTATAATAAATGTACTTATTAGGTATCATAATTTTTTAGCAATAGAAATTTGTAATAATGAAGTTAATCTGGTTTACATTAAGATACTTGATGTTTAGAGTAGAGAAAAATGTTTAATTCAGAAGTCTAAAAATTTGCATGCTTGGCAAGAGTGTAACATAAATAAGTAATTTGGGCTGAATACAAGACTAGCAATTGATGAATACCTATGGGAACTAAGAACTGGATTCAAATATAAAAGTTTAAAGACTAATTTACTAACTAAACCAAACATTTCTGATGGTTGAGTCCTATGGAACCAGTTTATGTCCCTGGTATAATTTTAAGTTTGACTCAAATACTGATTTTCTGGTTCATACTCACGTTTTCCTTCTTGATCACTAAATGACATTACAGCTATTTGATATTTTGTTCTTTGTGCTGTTTTATATTTTCTCTACTTAAATCTCAAGATCTCAAGAGTAGCTTCTATAATAGCTAATACTCTCATGAGTGTCTGCTAGGTGTCTGGTCCTGCCTGTGCTAGACTAGAAGGAATGTAATACTGTTTTCACTTCATAAGAGAAAAGTACAAATGTTATTATAGGTTGAGACCACAAAGTGTTATGGTTATGTGTGCTGGAACTGGACTGCAAACAGCCCAGTACTCAACCATTCAAGGCCATTGCCTCATTAATGAATAGAGCTAAGAAAGTTGCTGTGCTTGCTACAGCTTCATGTAGCATAGTAGAAGTTCTGCAGTTGAGCATCAGACACTGGGTTATGGGTGTGGTGATGGATGCCAGTGAACAAATCAATAAAGAGCACTCCTGAGATCAGTTTGGTCTGCTCAGACTTCATTGTAGGCTGCCATGCCCCTTTTAGGGTGGATTTTGACAGAATTGTTAATTGATTAGTTAAAAATTAATTAAAAATTCAAAATACATAAATATTCAAAGTCAAAAGAAATATCTTCTCTTTCCCATTCTGCCTCTTCGATTTTAACAATTTGCTGTTTATACTTCTTATTTTGTTTCTCTGTGTATAGTAGCATAAACATAAACATAAACATAAACACATATGTAAATTTCATCTTCTTATTATTTTCCGTAGTAGTTTTCCAGTACTGATAGTTTGTGGTAACTATTTTAAGAGTCTGAAATTAATAGTTATTTAATTAAATATTTTAAATAAATCTACATTAAATAAAAAAATTGTGGCAATTATGGTTATATAGTGAAATTTTCTTGAGTTTCTCAGTGAGAAATACTTGGATTAAATTTCTTCACATTTATTGAATATGATCTTGACTAAGTGTAATGTCCTGGACTTCAGGGTTTTTTAAATTTCTTAACTTGCAAAACTTTCCCTTTTACTTTGCCACTGTTAAAAGTTGATTGTCAGGTCTGGGATTGTGGCTCAGAGGTAAAGCACTTGCCTAGCATGTGTGAGGAACTGGGTTCCATTCTCAGCACTGCATATAAATAAATAAATAAGATAAAGGTCTGTCAATAACTTTAAAAAAAAAGTTAATTGGCTTGGGGCTGTAGCACAGAGGCAGTGTGCTTGCCTAGCATGTGTGAGGCACTGGGTTTAATCCTCAGCACTGCATAAAAATAAGTAAAATAAAGGCATTCTGTCCATCTGCAACTACAAAATTTTTTTTTAAAAAAGTTGATATTATACTCATTCATCAAAAAAGAATTGTAGCAACTTTTTATTTATTTATTACTATTGTCCTTTTTTATGCAGCTTATTTTTTTATACTTACAAAGTAAAAACTTAAAAAATACTGTGGTGTATGCACTGAAAAGTAAATTTCCTCTTTCACACTGTATGTGTCTCATCTACCCAGGATCCTTCTCAGAGGAAAGCACCTCCTGTTACGAGTTAGGTTTAGCATGCCCTTCTAGAGATGGCCTGTGTGTATACTGATGCTTTATTGTGTTTTCTTACAGAACACAGATCACATTCCTAAATATGAAACCTTTTTTTAATATTTATATATTTTAGTGGTAGATGGACACAATATCTTTATTAGATTTTTTTATGTGGTGCTGAGGATTGAACCCAGTGCCTCACTCGTGCTAGGCGAGTGCTGTACCACTGAGCCACAACCCCAGCCCTAAATATGAAAACTTAAAGACCATAATTCTTTACATATTTTATCTGATTATTTCTCTATTTTGCAAGTCTGCCACAGGTGTATATTTAGCGGCTTTACCAATGCCTGGTGGTATTCAGATTGCTGGGAAGACTCCTAATGATGGTTCATATGAACAGCATATCTCTCATATGCAAAAGAAGATAAATGATACAATTGCTAAGAACAAGGAATTATATGAAATCAATCCTCCAGTAAGTAAAACAATTCTACATTGTAAATACACTGTTTATGAGTAGGTCATCTTATTTTGGATATTTTTTTTTTTTTTTGGTGGAGGGGAGTTTGAGGTTTCACTACATTGCCCAGGCTGGTCTTCAACTCCTGAGCTCAAGTGATCCTCCTACCTCAAATTCTTGCACAGCTGGGACTATAGGTGTGTGCTACTGTGCTTGATTTAGATTCGCTCTCTTTTTTACTTGTTCTTTCACTTCCCTTAACATCTTTACACAAATATTTCCTTTTTGAGAAGTCCTACACTGACCACTGTATTTAAAATGCAATTCTGCAAACCATTTTTGGTGCTTCCTCTCATCCTTCTATGTTTTGTTGTTTTCTGTAACTCTTTTCTGTGTGTGTATGTGACTTTTTGACACACACTCAACATGCAGGCAAGTTTTTAATTTTTGTCTGTTGCTTGTGAAAACTAGTGGAATGAAGCTCCATCAGGGCTGTATTTCTGATACTTAGAAAAGTTCCTTGTAGTAGCTTCTTAATAAATACATTTTTTTTGCTTAAGATTATAAATGGTCTTTATTTTAATAAAAAGAAAGTGTTTACGGTAAAAGTGGAAAAGGAGATATTTCATTACAGCTGCTTTTTTACAATTTGTTGTCAGTCATTTCCATAGTCAGTTTTCTTGCTAAGTTTGATGTAGGTATCACAGTGCTTCCTCCTCTACAGATGCCTTTTCATTAGTGTGAATTGAAAGAAAGATGTTTTGGAGTTAGAATGCAACTATTTTTATGAGTCTCTGATATGAAATACTTCCACAAAGGGAATATTTTGGATAGAAAAATGGACCACATATTTTTTGCAGTCTTCTACAATAGTACATCTGAATTTTAACTTCAGACAGATAGCTTTTGTCAGATTAGCAAAATTGTGAAGTTGAGAGGAATTCTAAGGCTAATGCCTAGAGCTGTGCTGCTCAGTGTGGTAGCCACTGGGGCACTTGTTGTGTGATGAGTCTGACTGAGATCTGTTCCAAGCGTAGAGTACAGACTGAATTTTGTAGACTTAATTTAAATATGAACGTAAAATATCTCATGAATATTTTTGTATTGATTACATGTTGAAAATTTAATATTTTGGATATATCAAATTAAAATCTTTTATTAAATTGATTTCATCTTTTTTTATTATAATCACAATAAAGGAGTGCATTACATTCATAATTTTTTTTTGCATTACAATTCTTAATACACCTGTATACCACAATTTATCAAATCTCTGTTTGTATATAAGGTATGTTGACACCAAATTCACATCTTCGTACATTAATTTTGTATAATGATGACCGACTCCTTCCACTATCCTTGCTATTCCCATTCTTCCTCCCTTTCCTTCCCACCTCTATTCCCTATTTAGAGGTAATTTTCCACCCATACTCTCCCTCCCTACCCCACTTTGAGTCACCACCCTTATATCAGAGAAGATATTCGGCATTTGTTTTTTTGGGGGGATTGGCTAACTTCACTTAGCATAATCTTCTCTAATGCCATCCATTTCTCTGCAAATTCCATGATCTTATTATTTTTTAGTGCTGAGTAATGTTCCATTGTATATAAATGCCACATTTTTTTATCCATTCATTCACTGAAGGACATCTAGTTTGGCTTCACAGTTTAGCTATTGTGAATTATACTGCTATAAACATTGATGTGGCAGTGTCCCTGTAGTATGCTATTTTTAGGTCCTTTGGGTATAGTCCGATAAGAGGAATAGCTGGGTCAAATGGTGGTTCCATTCCCAGCTTTCCAAGGAATCTCCAGACTGCTTTTTATATTGGCTGCACTAATTTTGCAGTCCCACCAGCAGTGTATGAATGTATCTTTTTCCCCACATCTTCGCCAACACTTGTTGTTGTATGTCTTCATAATGGCTGCCATTCTTACTGGGGTGAGATGGTATCTTAGAGTAGTTTTGATTTGCATTTCTCTGATTGTTAGAGATGATGAGCATTTTTTCCATGTGTTTGAGAAGTGTCTGTTCAGGTCTTTGGCCCATTTATTGATTGGATTATTTGGGTTTTTTTTGGTTCTTGTTGAGCTCTTTATATACCCTAGAGATTAGAGCTCTATCTGATGTGTGAGGGGTAAAAATTTGTTTCCTTTATTGTGTGACTTGCTTTATATTTCTGTTGGGCAACACCGACTTAGAGCTTCTCTAAGTTGAATGAATGAGGTTTCACTACATTTTCTAATACTTGAAAAATAATGTTTGTAAAAACTTTCATACTCCACCATAAATGCCAGACACACACACACACATATATATATATATATATATATATATATATACACATATATATATATATATATATTAGTTTTCACACATATATATTTTGATTTTCAATGGACCTTTATTTTTTATTTATTTATATATGGTGCTGAGAATTGAATCCAGTGCCTCACACATTGCCAGAAAAGCACTCTCTCCCACTGAGCTACCACTCTACCCAGACTCCTCTTACTCCATCATAATGAATGATTGTTAGCTATACATTTTTCTTTTGTAATAGTATTTTGATATTTGAATATCTATTTGTAGTGTTTATGCCAGTTGGGGAGAAAGCCTTGTAAGTTAAATCTTAGAGCCCCATTTGTTTTGTATTTATTAGTTCTAATAAGTTGAATTCTTTTACTAAACAGTGCTTATCATTTTTTTAAATCCATTCTGACCTGCCACAAAAGAATAACTCTTCCTCCATTGTGTTCCTGTTATACTGTAATGTCTGCTAGTAAATTGCCTATTACATGTTATTGTCTATCTTCTTTTAATATAATATATCCATGGTTCAAACATCTGTGGAATCAGCCAACCTTGAATTAAAAATATTTGAAAAAAAAATTATAGCTGTACTGAAAATATATATCTTTTATCTTCTTATTCCCTAAACAACACAATATAACAACTATTTGCATATCATTTACATTATATTAGTTATTATAAATAATTTAGAAATAATTTAAAGTATATAGAAGGTACTGGGGTTGTTGCTCAGAGATAGAGCATCTGCCTACCATGCACAAGGCCCTGGGTTGGATCACCAGTGCTGCAGAGGAGAAAGAGAGAGAGAGGGAAAGAGAGAAAGAGGGAGAATGTGAATGAATGAACATAGAAAGATATTGTAGGTTATATGTAAATACTGTGCCATTTTATATAGGGGCTTGAACATCCACAGATTTTAATTAATCTTTGAGGAGTTCTAGAACCAACTCCCTAAAGATACTGAGGATGACAATATAAGCTCCTTGAGGACAGAGATGTAATTAATTGAGTGTGAATTAAGTTACTTTACTCAGTAAGTACTTATTAAATTGTTATTACATGTCACACAGCTTATATTTTGAGAAGGGAGTGAGTCTATCACAATTAAAAAAAATCAGCATATATGGATTTTGTGTATTGAGGATGACTATATTTGCATAAAAGTGTTCATCAATTTATGAATCTGCTAATATGTCCTTATTTCAGATACTAATTGCATTGTAATCCTTTAGAGTAACATCTCAGTTGTTTGACAAATTTAATAAACAAAATTAATTACCAGGCCACCATAAACATTGTAGTTTAGTCTTTTTAATTGTGTATGACAGTCAGTATATGCCCATCCTGAAAATATGGATCAGTGTGCCCCTTTTTAGGATGATTACCCCAGATGTGATGATCATTTAATTTTTTTTCCTTAATACCCTGAAAAATATTTCTAATGTTGAGATGTAGTACCACTTAATCAAACTTTAAGATAAGGTATTAGAATAAGATACAAACTTTTAGAATACTAGTATTAGTGATGAAACCTCAATATGAATCTTAAATATATTAAGTACTAGACAGTTATATTTATTAGATTAATGATGTAGTGATCAGAGGTATAATTCTCAACTACTATGAAATCATAAAAATAAATGTATCTTGTGAGAAGAACATTGCACTAAGAAAAAAAAGAAAAAAACAGGGTCTTTACCTAGTCTTCAGACAGGCAAATATCTTTACCCTGAATTGCAGTGATTTCTTTTATTGTGTGTGGTTCTGGGGATTGAACTTAGGGGTACTCTACCTCTAAGCAGTACCTCCAGCCTTTTTACTTTTTATTTCCAGACAGGGCTTCACTAAATTGCCAGGGCATATGCCACCAGGTCTGGCTCTTTCTCATTTTGTGGTCATTATATTGTGCATCTTATCAAATTTATATAGGACAGGTTAATTTGAAATGCAAATAAAATAAATGGTTGTGAAAGTACTCCATAGATTATCATGTTATGAAACTGCAGTGGTCATCTTTTGTTTAAGATGTGTACTAGAAATGAACATTTAAAATTCTATTTTTGAAAAACTTTTACTTAGTAATTTCCTTGATTTTGTAAGATAGCTCTGGTATACCAATGATAGGACTGTGCTCACATATCCTTATTTTTCTGTTAATTCTTTGTAGCCAATAGTGATTTAGAATCTTTTGTAAGATCAATGACTGAGTAATAGGGAAAATCTTACTAATCCATGTGAGATTTCACTATATACTGATTTATTATCATTATTATAGCTATTAGAGCTTATTTAGCTTAATAAGTTGCATAGCAAATATATGCATAAGTACATGTGTATATATGTATCTGTTCACATATTCATGTTTCTGATACTTAACACCTTTGAAAATTACCTCTGGGTAAAAAAGGATATAAAAGGTGAGTAACTATTTTGGGAAATATTTCTTTGAATATTTATGGTTAATTAAGACTTTAAAATGCTAAGTAGAAAATGCACATAGTCAGGAGTGATGGATTTCTGAGTTTATTTTAAAGTCCTTTCTGTCAGTTTTGCTTGTCTCTGTGACAGTTATATATTTCTAGGTTGGTTCATCAATAAGGCTGTAATTATGGATAAAAAGAAATAACTATATCCTCTATAAATAGCTAAGAAGGGTATACTTAAATATAGAGTTAATTAAATATATTTAGCAGATTTTTTTTCTCTGCTGGAAGTTGTGTATTAGTATGAAAGTTTAAAATCAGACTGAAAAATATAGCCTCATGTGATATAAAGCAATTATATTTCCTTTAGGAGATATCTGAAGAGATTATAGGATCACCCATCCCCGAACCTAGACAACGCTCAAGACTTTTAAGATCTCAGTCAGAAAGTTCTGATGAAGTTATGGAATTAGATCTTTCACATGGGAAAAAAGATGCTTTTGTTTTGGAGGTAATATGCTTCTAGCTTAATTCTTAAAGCTTTCAGAGATTGTACACTTTACAATTAGATACTAAATTGATGTGATATTTTTGTGTTATTACAACTGATAAATATCAGTAAAGTTTTATTACAGAAATTGGACAAACCTGAAAATAACAGAATTTAATGACTGATGGAATAATGCATTTACTCCTGAAACAATTAGTGTATGGGTTGAAATAATATGAAAATATAGATTGAATGTTTCTAATCCAAAAATCTGAAGTGCCCTGAAATCCAAAGGAAAGGAAACTAAATGAGGGTGCAAGTTGAGAGAGAAAACTCAGATGTTTTGATCTCAGTGAAGCTGGAAGCTGGTGGTAGAATTATGTTGGCGTGGAAATGGAGATTGAGGGTCTGTGTTGGGAGCAGTGCTTCAGATGTAGGCAGAGGACTGAAAGAAAAGGGGAGGATTCAGTAAGAGACTGAAGTACAAAGAGATTATGGTTGGAGAAAGTGTGAGATCTTGTAAATGGAGCATTTAGGGAACAGTGGGTTGAGGTATGGCAGTGGGTATCTAAGCTGTAGTGGGACTGAAAGTGAGTGCATTCCAAGGTTGATGTGAGGGGAAGGTCTTTGGGACAGGATTATATGGGTTAATGTCAATATGTGTCCAGGTAGTTATTTTCACTATTATTCACAATGCAAAGGTTGTGAAAAAAGAACACTATGATTTAATTTAGATATACTTATTTTAGATATGCATTGAAATTTTATCCCTATTTAATTCTATTAAAAAGCAAGTCTATATTTGATGAAAATATTCTTCTTAATTATAGAGAGATAATGATTGCTTACTTTTTTTTAAAAGTCTTTTGAAACATATTCTTATAGAAGCTTGAGAAAAGTATGAGTTAAAAAAACTTATTTTAATTAGGATCCCATTCTTGTGCTTGTACATGGTGTTTCACTGGTGGTATATTCATATATGAACATAGGAAAGTTATGTCAGATTCATTGTACTGTCTTTCCTTTTCCCACTCCCTTCCCTTCCCTTTATTTCCCTTTGTCACTCCACTGAACATCTTCTATTCTTCCCCTCCCCAACTTGCATTCTAAAGAACAAATAAATAAAAGAAAAAGAAAACATTAATTTAAAAATTTTGGAATAATTATGCATTCACTGCTAATATGCCAACAGTTTTAATCTTTCTGTTTTCAGATTGATGACACTGATGCAATGGAAGATGTGCATTCTCTCCTTACTGATGTTCCTCCTCCTTCAGGTGAACAGAAGAAATTGACTTTGAGATAAAACTAATTTTATGTATCAGCATTTTAGTTCATGATTGTTAAGAGTATTAACTTTATTGTAAAGGTGTTATCATAGTGTGAAATTCTGTCATATACTTTGCTTCTTCATAAAACACATAACTTAAAAATACTTGTGTTAGAACTTAGGTACAACTGATTTTAAATACTTTTATGTTTATATATGAAAAAATCCCTGTAATTATTAGGATGGTTTAAAGGTTTTTTTGCAGGTAGAGAGTTTAGAAAAAAAGGTTTTACAGTTAGAATTTCATATAATTAAAAAAATGCTATTCTTTAACATAAAATCAGTAATATTATCATGTTTTAATTATAATTTATTTTGGCAGGCTTTTATAGTTGCAATACAGAAATTATGCCTGGTATAAATAATTGGACATCAGAAATACAGGTAAACCTTTTATTAATTTTAAGCAGATAGCACATAAGTTATTTAATAAGTTCATCTAAATATCTATTTTGTTTTTGACATTGCTTTTGACCTTCTTTGCCATTAAAAGGACTATTCTTTTTCATAGCATATTAATTATTATTGTTTGCTATTTGGCACTTTTATCAATTGTTATAGTATGTAGTTAAAAATCATTAAATGACATGCTGTTCTGTCTTTCCACATTTAGATGTTCACATCAGTAAGAGTAATCAGATTAAGCAGTCTTAACCTGACTAATCAAGCTCTCAATAAGAACTTTAATGATCTCTGTGAAAATTTACTCAAGGTAGGAACCTTCTGACTAAATTTTATTTAAAGGCCTTCAGAATCTTGACATTACACAGTTGTAGGCTGCATTGTTTTTATGTACCTAAAGATCGTATCTCTGTCAGCAGGTGAGATGCTAAAGTTGTCCTCTTTTTCTTAAAAGCAGTTTAAATTAGTTAATGGTTTAAATCTCATAAAAAATCTGGTATATATTTGTAAATTTTGAAAAGCACATTATTTTTTATTATTAAATCTTATTGTTTATTTAAACATTAAAAATTTATTCTTGCTCAGCACAGTAGCACATGCCTATAATCCTAGCTACTCTAGAGGCTGTGACAGGAGGGTTACAAGTTTGAGGCCAGCCTACACAACTTAGTAAGACCCTCAGCAATTTAGTGAGAACCTGTCTCAAAATAAAATGTATGAAGGCCTTGGAATGTGGCCAGCTTAAAGCACCTCTGGGTTCAAGTTCCAGGATTAAAAAAAAAAAAAACACAAAAAACAGAAAGAAAAAAAAGTATTCTTAATATTACACAAAGCAGAAGTGGGACAGTTTTATTTTACTCTTTTTAAATATTTTTATTTGCCACAATTTAGTGTACATTGACAAAATCAGCTTTTATAATTTTTAAAAATGAAAACAAAGTGACATAACTAATATTTTCTGTTGTGTAGAGCCTGTATTTTAAGTTACGATCCATGATCCCCTGCTGCCTTTGCCATGTAAATTTCACAGTATCTCTGCCTGAAGATGAATTAATTCAGGTAATTAACATTCAATCTATTATTGAAGATTTCTAGCTTTTATCAGATTTGTTTTAACATTTTTTAAATTATTTTTAAAAAATTTATATATGACAACGAATGGAATGCATTACAATTTTATTACACATATAGAGCACAATTTTTTGTACACATTTCTGGTTGTGTACAAAGTATATTCACACCAATTTGTGCCTGCATACATGTACTTTGGATAATTATGTCCATTACATTCCACCATCATTTCTAACCCCATGTCCCCTCCCTTTTCTTCCCATCCCTCTGCCCTATCTAGAGTTCATCTATTTCTTCCATGCTCCCCCTCCCTACCCCTTGTTTTAATATTATAATTTTGCCATAATTAAATAATTTAAACACATACTGTTTTACCTCAAAATATTTTTAAAAAATATGTCAATTTTGTTTTTCTGAACTCTGATTATCTGAAGGTGGACTTCACATATGTGCTCCAGCATGTGAATAATAGATGAGTGCTTATTTTGTGGGATTTCACCAATCCCCATCTGTTAGAGAAGTTCCTGAGCTCTTTCTGAAACATCTAGCTATACAAATTGGGCTTAGTATAGTAGTTAGAATATCTGAGTTTATATATAATTCTCATTTGGGATCTTAACCAGGAAAGGCAATTAACCAATTGACATAGGTTGTTTTCATGATATGGAAAATGATTTTTATGAAGTTTAGTTTTGGCAACAATTATTTTGCTAATCATAATTGTTTCTGCAATTTTAGGTCACAGTCACAGCAGTTGCAATAACTTTTGATAAAAATCAGGCTTTACAGACCACAAAACCACATGTTGAAAAGTCACTACAAAGAGGTAAACCTTTAATGGATGGGAAGTATATAGTTCATGATTGTCTGCATTACAATTCAGTGATAAATATAGAGGGCAGATAGGTTGAATGACTTTTTTAATTGAAGAGATATTTACCTCATTTTATTGAGGTAACTGGATAAACATGGCTGACTTGATTGTTTTTTTACACATGACTGAGTGATGAACTGGTATTCACATAGGGAATGCTCCTGTTTTTAGACTTGAATGATAGCATGTGAATTCTATAGTAGTTTAGGGGTTCCATGCCAAGATCTCTGGTGAGGTCCTCAAGGCACCTGAGAATTAATTGATATAGTAAGCAAAATTGTGACCCTGTTTTTCTCAGGAAAATTTTAATTATAAACAGATTCTCAGACATGTCCTTAATCCAGTAAAATTTAAGAAGTGCCATTCTTAAGATATTCCAAAGAAGTTAAATTATTAGAAATTGATATTATAAAAAAGGAATATCTGGGGAAGAATATAATGCTTTCTAAAGTTTAAATGACTTATTGACTAACTAAAATATTCATGATTAACCTGAATGTTTTAAAGTTGATTTAAATCCCACATAGATGAAATCAATAAAGATTTGATCATTGAGTTAATTTCAAATAGATGTATTAAATGATTATGTGTTCAGATATTTATTGGATAAATTAAATAATGGCTGTTTTAAGCATCATATAAACTAGTAAGTTACACTATACAGGAGAACAGTAATTATTATTGAATGCTTACTATTTACAAGCCAGTGTGCTAAATGATTTATAGGTATTAATTAATCTTTTAAAATTTGACAACCTTCCCATCAGGAAAAACAGCACCTCTTTCAACATCATGCAGGTGAAAGATACCCAGGGAAGAAACCAGGGATGAAATAGCCAGTATACATTTTGTGGGGGTGAGAAATATAACATGCACGCACACGTGCATGTGTGTGCATGCACACTCCCCCACTCCCACAGAGTAGATATTCGGTTGCAAGTTCTTAATTTCTTAAAAAATCATAACAGATCAGTGCTAAATAACTGTTGTTTTTCTTTCCTCTCCAGCTTCTACAGATAATGAAGAACTTCTGCAGTTTCCACTGGAACTCTGTTCAGATTCACTTCCTTCACATCCTTTCCCACCAGCTAAAGGTTGGTTAAGTAAGAAATTCAAATGCGAATCCCAGTTATAGTGCTTTCACTTTCCTCTTTATAGTCAATCTTTCTTAATCTTGAGATTTATCCTTCATTTCTTCATTACGTGTTTCTCCATGTTCATTAACAGGAGAAAGTAATACTCATTTAATTTCTCAAGTAATTTCACCATAAGTTATTAAGGTAATTTTCTATATGATATCCATTCTCAGACCTCAAATATATCAACATTTTATTTTTAAAGATTTGTACTTCATAGTATAACTTTTCACATGTAGTGTATTTGATATTTGTATTATATTTGGTAAGTTTTTTGTCCAGAAATAACCAAAAGTTTCAGACATTAGAATGCCTCAGAGGATAAATGGAAAAGTTTTAGGGTAGAACAAGGGAGACAGGGATGAACTTCCTGTCATATGTTAACTTTTGCTATAATTGAAGAACATTATTATGTATTTTTAAGATACTGCAGTTTTTTTTAAGTGCAAAACAATTACCTGTAAATTTAATACCATTACATCTATTTTGATCTGTATAATCTTTGGAGAAAAATAGGAGTTTTTTTTCCCCATTTCTCTTCTGATTTTAGTGTAATTTTTAAAACTTTTCAAAACTACCATACCTAATTCTACACTATATAATCTTAATAAATGTAGTTTGCATTTTTTATAAATGCTTTATTCTGAGAAATGATGCATTTTTTATTTAAAGTCAAATATATTCTATTTTTATATTCTGTAATGCAAGTGAAGTTGTTTTGTGATTCCTACTTGTTAGTTATTTTATCTAATATCAAATTATGTGTAAAATAGTTTTATGTTCACTTTGCATATGTATCAATAGAATTTTTACAAACCAATTCAAAGTTTATCTATAGATAAATGGATTGTGACTTACATTTTCAAGATGAAAATATAAACTATTATTAGATTCTGAGCTTTCTAACCTAGTAACTTTAGTCATATTTTCTTTTTGTCCTCACCTAAAATTCTAATTTAGAACTCCATGAGAATTTTAGCATATCTCAATTTTCTTGAAAGAATAGGAAGGAAAAATCATATTTAAAGAATATGCTAAGTTCATATTTCTGAATTAAAAATAATTTCCCAAACAGAAAACATTATTGTCAAGATTCTTCCTTGAATCATTAGATAGCAAGTTTTGTTTGTTTTAAAACACATACATTATAGAGAAACTTATATTTTACATAAGGTTAATTCCAAATGACTTTTAGGTGTCATTTCATTAATCCTTACCCTACAATGTGGCAAAAACCCTCCAAGGCCTAATCAACACAAAAAGATTTGATTGCTCATCTCTGGAAACAGATATTTGTGGAGTCAGGCCATATTAGCTCAATGTTACCATATTATTAATACCTACAGAAGATTAAATTGTAAGTTTTCCCTATTTGTATTGATAGCTTTCAAAATGCTATCCAAGGTAGTTGTAACCAATGGTTATGTAGTCATTAGTGTAAGATGATACTTTGTGAACTAAAGAACAATGTAAAACATTTGCAAATCATTTTAGTGAGCTTGGAGAGGGATCATGAATGAGGTAAAAAAGCAACAGATGTGGCCCTCTTTGCCCATCTGTGACAAGGTATAAGAATTTGGGTTAATTACTTAACCTCTCTAAGCCTCAGTTTCTCTTGTGTAAAATGTGAGAGGGTTAAGATTCTCTCCAGCCTTTAAAATTCTGCAATTACTTGGGTTTGTGTTTTATAGGCCTTCTACTATAAACATGTTAAAAACTTAAAAGAAAAGTCAAAAGCTGAATTAGTGCCCAAAGTCATACTGATCTTTCATACTTGTTATTTTAAATGTTTTCAAGAAACTTCTAATCAGTTAATCCAATAAGTTTTAAAGTCTGCTCCTCCAAACCATAGGGGTTTTCCAGAGATGCCTCAGGCTGCAAAGAAGGGTAAGGATTGAGAGAATAGATCTCTGGATGACCTGCCTCTGAACTAGAGCAGCTTTGATTCAGTGAATTTTACACATTAGTTTTCTATATTTTATTTGAAGAAAGGGTTTCAAAGATTTGAAAAACACTGGATCAGATCATGCTACCTTTATCATCATCAAAATTATCATGATCATCATCATCGTAATTATCAGTTTCATAATATCTAATACTAATATACATATAAAGCTTTTTACTCTGAGTGCTTCACTATAAAACCTATGTACCTTTTGTTGAATATTACATTTTAAAATTATTAGTAAAAACCTAAAAATGCATCTGTATCTCTTCATAGTTTTGTAGTTTCTAAATTGTGATTTGTCATGCATGCTTATTTATTGTCTTTGCTTCCTCAAGTTTTTTCAGGAGGACATGAGTTAAATTTGTTCTTTAAAAGTTATTTGAAAGTAATTTGGAAGAATTAAGGGTAAGATGGGTTTTGAAAAGGTCTGAAAAATGTGGTAATAGAGCCTTATAATATGAATGGAGTAATTATGTGCTTTGACATGGTAGAAAGTGTTGAAAATTTAAGCTTAGCAATTTAGAGGAATTAAGCAGGAAAGAGAAAGTCAAGAGTGTTTAGGAGTGAACAATAAAAAATGTGTCTGATTTCTTATATGTAGCCAGAAAGCTTAAAAGTCAACTACTCATACAGATAAATTTACTAAGTTGGTTAGTTAAGCTGATAAGTTTTTTAATTCTAATAACAATGGATTCTAGTTTACATCTCATGTCTTAACACAAGTAGGGGATTGAAAAAAATTCTTATTTTCTGGTGTGTTGACAGAGTAGTTTCAAGAGCTAAGCTTAGTATGTTTTTTAGCACTTCTGTCTTTTCACTTGTAGATAAACCTTCCATTATCTTTTTATATTATTGAAAACGAGTAAATGTTTTGTGAAGTAATGATGCTGTAGTTACATGTATCTTGGTTCATTGTGTTGAGTAAGCCTGGGCCTGAATTGTCCATCCATGTTCAATTTTTTCCCTCCATCATTTATTATATTTGATTTTATTTCTCAAGGTAAAAAAATAGTTTTATGTATGTCTCAAATTTATGTTGATTTGGTGTTACCTTCCTAGTTATCTCTTTTTTTAATATTAAATGGTGCTGAGCTTCAATAATTTTCAAAAAGATATTATTCCATAAAGTCATCAAAATTCCTTACTGAATATGAATACTATGAGGAACATACATGATGTGGTATCAACATAAATTATTTATGTTCATATGAGGTTATATTATGAGAAAAAAATGACTATATCAAAATTTTTATAGTACTTTCCCGTCATCATTATTATTCATACCTTAATTTTTCTCTAAGTCATTTTCAAGATTCTTTAAAAATTATATATATAAAAAGATGAGAGAGTAAATGAGGAGTCTGAATAAATGCAGTCTGAGAGATACATAAAATACTAGTAGATTTTTCTCATAAACTGCAGTCTGGCTAAAGAATTTTATGCATATAGTCTTTTTTTTTTTAAGTTGTAGATGAGCATAATACCTTTGTTTTATTTTTATTTATTTTTATGTAGTGCTGAGGATTGAACCCTAGGGCTTTACACGTGCCATACATGCATTCTACCACTGAGCTACAACTTCATCCCCTGCATATAGTTTTTAGAAAAGGTTAGCATAGCACTTCAAAAGTCTAAAGACTTAAATTATACTATCATTTTACAGAGCTTATAAACTTAGATTAGACAAGTATGTATAAATCATGTACCATATATTTCAAGTACTTTGTAAATGTAATGTCTCATAAATAAATTTTTATTAAACACTGATAGTTTAAATATTTTAAAAGGTTTAATTAGTATTATATGTACAAATATATGAGTGAAACCATATAGAAGAGGATTTTTTTAAATACTCATCTTGTTTTTTGCTTTCATTTTGCTTTATGCTAGATGATTTCTTTGTGTACAGTGATATAACTATAGCCTTACGAGTGTAGCAAGTACTGATTAGTGTCTGGCTTTTGATGTAAAAAAACAAAACAAAACAAATTGACTTGTACCTGCAATGCATTGCTTTCCATAATTAGGTCTACACAGTAGTAGTTTTTTTAATCCTTATTTTTATTATAGTCGAGTTTGTTTTTGTTAAACCAAATTTGATTTTAAAAAGATGGTTTCATTTTAATGATCTGCCTAAGATTATTTTAAACTAGCAATTAGAAATATAAATTTCTAAAAACTATAAGAACTTTCATTTTTCCTACTAATTAATAGTTAACAAATAAATATAATTCTTTATACTAACTAAAAAATGTCTTTATATACTGATAACCTATTGCTTGTCTGCTGTTTCTGTTTTTGTTTTTAAAGTACTGTGTATTTTGTCATTATGACCAAATGGTAACAACAGTAAAAATAACAGCTGATGTTCTCCCTATTATATTGGACGTCCAAAACAATCAGTGGCAGGCTTTGAAAGGAGAAAGTTGATGAAGAGAATAAGGAAAATAGAAACCAAAACGAGGGAAATGTATGCAAATACTTAGCCAAGAAATAGGTTGGGAAGGGAGTTGATGAAGAAATAGAATGCAGAGTCTTTACCTCTCTAACTTCTGTAAGGTACCTTGAGAACAGTGAAATTCAGAGGCAGAGGAATTAAAAAGCAAAGAAAAAAATGAATTGGGTAACTGCCAGAAAACCCAAATAACTTGGAAGAGAGCCATAAAGGGTAGTAGTAAGATGAAAAGTGGATGTATAGAAATGGAAACAGGAGCACATAAGAAAGGGATTGAAAAAGACAAGTGGCTTAGGATGTTGTACACCTTTAATGGGAAACATAAATTACCCAAATAGAGAAGTTAATTTTTTTTGGTCATCTAATGTATGTATGTATTGCCTATGTATATTGGTGTTGAATTTTTCTCTTTTGAACTACCCAAATTGAAGCTATTTCCATCTTTCTTTATACCTTAATAATTTATAACTACAGAATGGCAATTTCATTATCAATTCATCAATATTTAAGTACCCTTATGGGTAAATTTATACTGAATGTTCAGATACACCATTTGCTTTAACTTAGTCATTAAACCAGATTTTATAGTTATGAGGCATAGCCAATCAGTGTCTTATGGATTGATGGGACTGCCTAAAGGAACATAAAACCCAATTTTGATCATAATAGCTTAAAACTGAGAATGTTAAAATGGGAAAATAAAGCATAAAATTTAAAGACTCCAGATTATGTATATTTTAATCTGCCAGAGATTCTTGTTTGTAGAATTTTTCTCAGTTTTAGGAATTTTTAAAGATGTGTATGCAAGATTGTCTCAAATACTTTTTAAAATTATTCAGAGCAAAGATGATCTTTATATTTAATGATATAAAATGAATCGTCAAAAGATTGGGTGATCTGTGTAGAAACTTTATTACAGCTGCCTTGGTCCACTTTGTGTTGCTGTAACAGAATACCCAAGTCTGAGTATTTTATTTAAAAAAAGACATTTATTGACTTGTAGTTCTGGAGGCTGAGAAGTTCAATATCAAGGTATTGACATCTGGCAAGGACCTTCTTGCTGCATCATCACAGGAAGGAAGAGCAGAAAGAGAGCAAGGAGGGGCTGAACCACCCTTTTTTAATGGTACCAATCCTTCCCACAAGAATGGAGCCCTCATGGCCTCATCCTCTCTTAAAAGTTTCTAGCTCTTCATTTTTTTTTTTTTTTTTTTTTTTTGGTACTATGGTTCGAACTCAAGGGCACTCAACTCCTAAGGCACATTGCCAGCCCTATTTTGTATTTTATTTAGAGACAGGGTCTCACTGAGTTGCTTAGCACATTCACTGTTCCTGAGGCTGGCTTTGAACTCTTGATCCTCCTGTCTCAGTGTCCCAAGCCACTAGTATTACAGGTGTGCGCCACCGCACTCAGCTTAATACTATTTTGATGGCAATTAAATTTTAACCACAGTTTTAGAAGAGCTAAACATTCAGACCATATTAACAGCTAGCCAATAGTGTTGAATTGGTTATAAGAAATTATTTAGAAGAATGAAGAAGTCTCAAACCTTAGAAACATTGGAGAGTATAAAATTGAAGGAGGAATAATCCTTGCCACATTTTTTTTTCTTTTGTCATCAATATGCTCATTACCACTTAAATGCTTTTAATCTGGGTTAATTTATCTGTGCACACCACTAGACATAGGGCTTCCCAGAGTGTGCTAAGAATAATTAAATTGTTGTCCTACTTACTAAGTTTCCAGGGTTATTTGAGAATGATGGGGTTTAATCTTTGTCTTTTATGAAATGGGAATAGAAATTTTTTAAATTTATTTTATTTATTTTTTATTGTTGGTTGTTCAAAACATTACATAGTTCTTGATATATCATATTTCACATTTTGATTCAAGTGGGTTATGAACTCCCATTTTACCCCGTATACAGCTTGCAGAATCACATCAATTATACTTCCATTGATTTACATATTGATATACTCATGTCTGTTGTATTCTGCTGCCTTTCCTATCCTCTACTATCCCCCCTCCCCTCCCCTCCCCTCCCCGCCCCTCTTCTCTCTCTACCCCCACTACTGTAATTCATTCCTCCCCCTTGTATTATTTTTCCCTTTCCCCTCACTTCCTCTTGTATGTAATTTTGTATAACCCTGAGGGTCTCCTTCCATTTCCATGCAATTTCCCTTCTCTCTCCCTTTCCCTCCCACCTCTCCTCCTTGTTTAATGTTGGTCTTCTTCTCGTGCTCTTCTTCCCTAGTCTGTTCTTAGTTACTCTCCTTATATCAAAGAAGACATTTGGCATTTGTTTTTTAGGGCTTGGCTAGCTTCGCTTAGCATAATCTGCTCTAATGCCATCCATTTCCCTCCAAATTCTATGATTTTGTCATTTCTTAATGCAGAGTAATACTCCATTGTGTATAAATGCCACATTTTTTTTATCCATTCGTCTATTGAAGGGCATCTAGGTTGGTTCCACAGTCTTGCTATTGTGAATTATGCTGCTATGAACATCGATGTAGCAGTGTCCCTGTAGCATGCTCTTTTTAGGTCTTTAGGGAATAGACCGAGAAGGGGGATAGCTGGGTCAAATGGTGGTTCCATTCCCAGCTTTCCAAGAAATCTCCATACTGCTTTCCAAATTGGCTGCACCAATTTGCAGTGGGAATAGAAATTTTGAGAGAATGGACTGCTGTATGGTTGGATTGAGGCTCTCTTTGCAGCTGGAATGGGGATCCAACATACAAAGTGCTCTTCCACATAGATATACAAATGGCAGTCAACTGAGCATTAACTAATGCTCAACAAAGCCTGAATGACTTTAAATGATATTTCTACCTTGAATATGAAGTCTGCTGTCTTTTATTTAGAATTGATAGTGATTGCATGTTCTTCAGTTTATTTCTTTTTAACTAGAGTTACTAGTTTCTCAGTGAGTGAGATTTCTTATAACTGTGGTGCCTTTTCTTTTGAAAGGCCTATTAACTAGGAATCCTGACTTTAATGAGAAGGAACAATCATTGGGTATTTAAAGTATTCAAACTAGCCTGAGGTGCCAATCAGAGTCTATTTCCTGCCAGGATCTGCTCATCTGGAGTCTTTTCTGTTAGGAGAAAAATTAAGATCATAGGCAATATGTTAAAATATAACACAGCTCTTTTTAAGTGAGATTAAAGAAATTCTTATCCTTTCTCCGAAGAATGTCTCTAGTTTTAAAGCATCATTTTTTTTTCAGTTTTAATTCAAATGCATTTATATTTGAAGTCAGGTAATAAATACCTACCGCTCCTCAGAGTCCCCTCTTTTCCCTACTCTTATAAATTTATTTTTGGAAAAGTATGAATTATACATACTAAAAAGTTCAAGTAACATCAAAATCATGTAATCCAAAATAAAAGTCCCTTCTCCCTTTATTTCTCTTCCCAAGAGGCAACTACTTGTAACAGTTTCATCTGTCTTCACAAAGATTCTCTTTTTATTCTTTATTGGAACACACATATTTTACAGATTATTGGGTACCTTGATTTTTCCACTTGTGACTTAGAGGTGGGAATAAATAACTACATGTTTAAGTAAGTTCTGTCTATGTATTTGTCATTAAATTGTATACATTTGCTTCTGCAGATTTCTGTATTACCCAGATAGTATTGAGTTATAGCAGATGATTTAATTTTAGTAATTTTTCAAAAATTATTTTAGTCATTCCTCTGCCTATGCATTAATTTTTTTTTCATTGAATTACTATGAATTCCTGTACTCTCTGTAATTCTATACTGACCAAGTCTGTACTGCCCAAGGTAGTAACCCTGGAGAACCTTTGAATTTTCCTAGAATATATAAGCCTGGGGTAGGTTCATTGCTGTCCCAGTTTCTGCATTGAGTCCATTCTTGTCCTGAACTCTCTGTAGATATGTGATAAGTCTTCCTGCTAGCCTTCCTATGGGCTCCATCTTCTCCCAGACTTCCAGAGCTCCTCAAGATCCTGTATCAGGACTGTCCCCAAATAGACTTCTAGGCTACAGACACAACAGTCAGGGAATATGCATAGCATAGTACCCTCGCAGACTTTTTGTGGGCCTTACCTAGTGTTCCCTTTTATTTGTTATCTATCTATCCAGAGGATTGTCTACCACTGTATACTCTCTAGTATTAGCTACTGGTCACTTGCTTAAAAAATGGTGGTGGGGTTGAAAGGGAGCTTCTTCTAATTTGGAGAAATGCTATGTACAAATGACATTTTAAAATAAACTTTTATAAATTTAAGAATATTACCAAAGATTAACACATTAAGTAGAAATTAAAAAATATATTTAATTTATATTTTTTTAAAAAACTGACTGCCCCAAATTATTCTCAGTATATTTCATGTGTCATTTCTAAATTGGCAACGCTATTCTTTCATTTGTTCCATACTTTGAAACAAAAATTTAAATATGCTAGTGTGGATAGAACATGGGCCTTAAAATTGGATTATGACTTTTTTATAGTACTACTTACATTTGCATGATACCTTAATTATCTTTACTAAACATAAAATATCAGGGAAAACCTTGGATGCTAACTTCCTGAGGTGCTGGAAAGGGAGTGATTCTAGTTTGGAATTGTTAGTTATTTCTCTGAAGATGAGTCAGTTTTAGTTCCACAAAGTCTTGCTACCACTAGAGGGAGCTGTTTATAGTTCCGACAAATAAAAGAGGTTCATGGTAAGGAAGGGTAGGGGTAGGAGGCAGCATGTGTTGATCTGTGAGTCATAGCGCATTACTTTGTTTGTAATTTTTAATCTTACTGGCTCTTACTCCCTACAAACATGTCTCTTCCACGTTTCACGTCAGATATCCCTCCCAAAACAGTGACCCTTTGTCTAGTTTTCTTACATTCTGCTGTCATTCTACTAACATTTGTTACTGTTTATATTTTCTTATGACTATGCAGTTTCTGAAACTCATTTTGTGTTATAGTAACAAGCAGTCTTACTTACCATGTTATTTATTAACTGAGCTAGCTTTCATGTCAATAGAAACTACATTTTAAACCTAAATATTTCTATTTGGTTTGCTTTTATAATGAAGCCATAAAGATTTATTCCTATTCTTCTGGCTTATAGAAGATATTAACAAACAACAAAGAAGAGATGCTGGCTTGTACTTAGCATTCAAGCTAATGTTGTTCATATTGTCTTATTAGAACACCTGGAGAGTGCAAGTTCTAACTCAGGTATACCAGCTGCACAGAGAGGTGAGTTTGTTTAATTAAGCAAATAGTCACCAAAGGTGTGGAATTCTAGTTAGGTGGTGCATAAAATTTCAGACACTGAAGAAATGCACTGGACAATGGTATAGACACCACAATGTGACTTTATTGTAGTTAGCATTTGTATTTTTTATTCATTAAATATTTATTTTTTAGCATTTTAATGGTTTCTCAATTTCTAAAAATAAAATTTTAGTTTTTTTTTAATTAGCAGTAGTGAATTTTTTTTTAAAGGAGGAAGTTATTCGACTCATACCCACTTCCCACCCCCTTTATCAGAGGCTTTGTTACCAAAAATCAGGCTTAGAAACAGAATATTGACAAAAATGATCCTTTAACTTTTATTACTGATAGTAGAAAGAAGATATTTTCATTCAAGATAAGTCAACTAGTAAGGATTTTTTTTCCAAGTGTTTTCAACATTTTGATTCTTTTTATTTTTTATTTTAGGATAAAAATAGAGAAGGGGATTAGTTATAATGTTGAAATTGTAAATTAAATTCTAATAGGAATAGCTAAAATAGTTAAATAGAATAGAAAATAAAGTTAGTTATTTATGTGTGGCCCTCTCATTGCTGTTAGACCCCACTAACATTCTCCCCAAGAGACCATACAGCTGTGACATCACCAAAAATGCTCAGCCAGATGATCAAGAACTTGGTTTTGGACAAATCAGTGTCGTAAGCTTGACTCTTTACCACCTCTCTAATCTGACTTTAAAAGACCATTCTTTTTTTAAGTTGCAGTTAAATTACATCATCAGAAGGAGTGTTATGACGAGTAAGAGACGTCATCCATATTTTTTCTTTGTTTTTTCTTTTGTTTTCTGTCTGTGTTTTCAGCAACGTCAGTTGATTACAGTTCCTTTGCAGACAGATGCAGCAGCTGGATAGAGCTCATTAAACTGAAAGCTCAGACCATAAGGCGCGGATCAATTAAGACAAGTAGGCGGATGTTTCTACCACATTATGATGATCTGAGAAGCATATCCCTGATTTCGCAGTGATGAAGGCTAGACCTTACTACCTAGTATTAACATTGCCAATCAGTCGTGTGTTGGAGTGTGAAAGCTGCAGACTCTAATGGTCATGTAGGAAGAGTAAATGAAGGACCTTTAGATTTGTTAATTTTAACAAAACAGAATTTTTTTTAAATATAACTTTTTGTGAAGGCGTAACTAAAAATATATAAATAGATATGATCTCCTTCTAGATGGAAGGTAATCACCAGCTCTCTCATCAAAGAGGTAACTTTTCTAGGACCCAGCGTATTTTGTATATTGCATCTGTTAGCTTACTAAGAGATATCCAGAGGGCTAAAAGAATAAGTATTTCTGGAGAGAAAGTAATTAACTCTCATCTTACTGCTAGACTCGGTATGTTTATGTTCTTTATCTATACCCCATGTGTTTTGGTAGATTTTAAAGTAACTATATTTGAGGAAAAAAAAACTACATTAAAAGGGAAGGAACTACCTTTTAGAGTAAATAACAGAGGCTATGTAACCAGCCAGGTCTGATTTTGAATTCTGGAAGTGCCAATTTAATAGTTGTGTGACCTTGGGCAAGCTATTCAATTTCTCTTAGCTTCAGCTTCCTCATGTGTAAAATGGGGATGATAATAACCTATGTTGCTGGGTTGTAAGCAATACACATACACATAATATGTCTGGCTGATAGCAGTTATTTGGCAAGTGGTAATTATTTTGTGTTACTTTATAAACAATAACCTTTTGATGGCCAAGGTCATTTGCTAAGTTTTTTAAATTATGAGTTTGTTTAATCAAAAGGTTTGGAAAGGAAATATATACCACTAGTTAACATAAGGTTTATCTACAAGTTGACAATGATGAAGTCGTCTGAAAAAGATGGAAATAACTGTAATGGGAAATATAACAACTTTCACACTCTCTTTGTAATAATTTGTTTCTACAGCAGATAATTTAATGCTCTGCCGCTTTTTCTTTTTCTTCACTTCATAACTGATCATTGTGTGTGTAGCTACTCCGCATCAACATTTTCTTTTGCAGGAATGCCATTTTTCTTCCAAAAGAATTCATTCCAGCATTTCCTTATGTGTTTTTCTTTCTCTCTCTTTTAATTGCATGCAGTGCATGATGATTTCTTTTCTTTCATGACATGGCTTAGCCTCACAGACAGCTGAATGTTGTCACCACTTACTTGGAAACCTTAGGGAATAAGTGACCAATATGCATAACCAGTATCTGTTCTTAATGTTACCTCTTCTTTTCTTCAATTTTAGCTGTGACACTTGAAAAAGCAAGTCCAATGGGTGAAGGAAATTTCCGGAACCGTTCTGCTCCACCTTGTACAAATTCCACAGTTGGGGTTGTTAAGATGACACCTCTTTCTTTCATTCCTGGAGCAAAAATAACTAAATATCTTGGGATAATTAACATGTTTTTTATTCGGGAAACTACTTCTCTTCGTGAGGTAATTTTACTTAGATTATTTTGTTGGTGTTTGGATTTTCTTTGATTGACTATTTAGTAACAAAACCATGTCTCAAATTATTATTTTTCCCTAAAATAATAAATACACATAAGTATAAATACATATTTTACTTATTTATTTGTATTTTAATAACTTAAATATATTGATTCTGGATTAAACTAATGCATTTCATATAGTAGCTAGTATTATTACCAGGAGTTTGTGTTAGGTTTAAACACATTTGTTGTTAGAAATTCTAGATTTTTATCAAGAGCTTTATTAAATCAAACAAATTTATCTATGTTTCATTAGATTCTTATAATAGCCCTGAAAGAACAGCTAAGTTTTTTCAGTAGTTATTTGCCTGAGATACATTTAAATAGCAATTTTTAAGGGATCACCTTTAGAAATAGTGGAGGACCATATTATAGACATGTTTATGTAGATATTTTATGTAATTTAGCTTAATTGTTTTATCCCTCTGAAAAGACAATGGAGCTGTTCATTTTCACTCAGTAAAAAGAAAATTATATTGAATCTTATGTTATAAGCAAATTAATACTGTGATATAGGGATAATTTTTAATTACTGAGGCTTGAAAGCAGGTAATTGCTTTATATTTTACTTTAGTAGCAGTTTGTACTTAATAAAGTATGCTTGTTATGGAAATGACTTAATTGTGCTTCCAACCCCCCAACCCCCACCCCCACCTTAGTTTTACTAGAAAAACTTCTTAGAAATCAAGCTTGCAGGGGCCAGGGTTGTAGCTCAGTGGCAGAGTGCTTGCCTACCATGTATAAGGCACTGGGTTCAATCCCTGGCACCATATGAAAATAAGATAAAAGGTATTGTGCCCACCTACAATTAAAAAAGAAAAATATTAAAAGAAATCAAGCTTGCATACTGTTTTCAATATCATGCTCACTGTCCTGCATCTAGCACAGTGTTTGGCATGGAGTAACATGATGCATTTTATGTAAATGAATGATGATTTCTGACAGATTGTTTCATTAATTAGATGGAAATTTTGAGATAAATTATTATTTTTTTCAAAATCTTTATATATATAATATTTTATATATATATGTGTGTGTGTATATATATATATATATACATATATATATATATATATACATTTTGTAGTTGTAGATGGACAGAATGCCTTTATTTTATTTATTTTTATGTGGTGCTGAGGATTGAACCCAATGCTTTACACATGCTAGGCAAGTGCTTTGCCACTGAGGTACCACCCAGCCCCAGATAAATTATTTTTTAAATATTAAAAAATTTTTTTTTCTTTGCTGGGGATTGAATGCAGGGGTACTTTGGCACTGAGCTATAACACTAGACTTTTAATTTGTTATATATGATAGCAGAATGGATTTCAATTCATATTATACATATAGAGCACAATTTTTTTTATATCTCTGGTTGTACACAAAGTAGAGTCTTCATACATGTACTTAGGGTAATGATGTCCATCTCATTCCACTGTCTTTTGTACCCCCATGCCTCCTCCCTTTGCCCTATTTAGAGTTCATCTAATCCTCCTATGCCCTCCCCACCCACCCAAACACATTATGAATCACATCCTTAAATCAGAGAAAACATTTGGCATTTGGATTTTTTGGCTTGGCTAACTTAACATTATATTCTGCAACTCCATCCATGACTTTTTTATATTTTATTTTGAGACAGGGTCTCGATAAGTTGTCCAGGCTGGCCTTGAATTTGTAATCCTCCTGCCTCAGCCTCCTGAGTCACTGGGATTACATACAATTATGTACCATGACCCCTGGCAAATCTGTAAGACTTTATTTTCTACATCTTCTCTTCTGCATAAGCTCCTGTACCCAAAAATGTTGCTTCATAGTAGATTTCTCTTTAATGGAAACTTTACAGCACAGTATTACAGTTCTGTTCACAGCCTGATAAATTATTTTCTTACATCAATTAAACTTTTTAAAATTAAAGTTCTATAGGTACTCTACCTTCAAAATTTCTTAATAGACAGAAGGAAACTAATAAGACCAACAAAAAAATGCACTGATCTATGATTAAGTTGGAGGCAATCTAAAACAACTCACTTAATTCCTTAATTGCAAAAAGCAAGACCTTTATAGGACTGTAGAATGCCCTGGCTTTTTAGAAAGATGTGATTTATTAAAATGATTTTCTAACAATTTACTCAGCTTTTCCCTTTCTTCCAATTTAAAATTGGAAATTTCCTCCTAGATTTAAGTAACCTCCAGGAGAATTTCTAGAAAACAGGTACACAAAACATTGTAAACTTTGATTGACCTTTAATTTCTGTTTTGTTTGTTTTTTGAACATGGAAAAAATTCCCTAAACTAATGGATTTTACTCCCTAACAAATATTTATGGAATACTTATTTTGTGTACCTGTTAGGTATAAGTATATAATGTGCAAAACAGATTCAGTCAGTACTACTTATGTGATTATAGTTTATCATGGGCAGATTACAAATTCTCTGAGCTTCAGTTAAGTTTAAAGTAAGGATAGTGAATCCTCATCTAGCCATGTTTGTAATAAAGTTTTATTTGTTCATCCATACGGTAAATCCTATGAATTTTTGCCTGTTATTAGGATAACTTGGGATGATTTAATACATATTCTTTGACATTTTATGTACATTCCTAGATACATATAAATAATATGGTTATTTTCCACATTGTTGTTTAGGAAGGAGGAGTCAGTGGTTTCCTCCATGCCTTTATTGCTGAAGTGTTTGCAATGGTGAGGGCTCACGTTGCTGCATTAGGAGGAAATGCTGTCGTCTCCTATATAATGAAGCAGTGTGTCTTCATGGAGAATCCAAATAAAAACCAGGTGAGATATAGTTAGAAATCTCTGATTTAGGGGAAACCTGAGAATTTCCCTCATGGCCAGCCAACGACCTCCATCACCCTCCCAGAATAAAAATGCTCTTCAGATTTCTTTGATTCTAGATGCTAAAAACATAGTTTAGTGAAGTTATTAATAAGTATGGTCATATATAGCTTAGGTGCTATTCTCACATCTCAGGAAACAAGTTATTCTTAACCATTTTTGGAACTTCTCCTGAGCTCCTATTTCTACCATCATCTTGGTGGATGTTTGGAGTACAGTGATGTCTTGACTTCAGGGAGCTAAAAGTACAGGTTAGTTTATCCTGTGGTGCTGACCAGTTTTAACTGCCATACAGGGCAGGGTATATCATAATAGTTTATTCTGTTTATACTAGTTTATTTCTGTTAAATAATGTTCTGTTCATGGGGAATAAAAAGAGTCTTACTGGGTTAAATTTATAAAATAAGGTTCTTTTATCAGTTTTTTTTTGCATTTTTAAAAATATTTATTTTTTAAGTGTAGATGGACACAACACAATGCCTTTATTTTAATGTGGTGCTGAGGATCGAACCAGATCCTGCCTGTGCTAGGCGAGTGTTCTACCACTGAGCCACAATCCCGGCCCCTCTTTTATCAGTTTTGAGTTAAGATAACTCACTTAAAATTGTAAAAGATTTTTTTTAAGCAAATGGCTATATGAGCTGTGATAAAGGCAGTACTTCTCAATGTGCTCCTCTTGGCATACATCAAAAATCATATTATTTGAATGACAGGTAGTGGTAGATGGATGAAATTCCTTATGGCTGTTGGTGATTGCTCCTCATTTCTGGCCCAGCAGAGGGGACCATTGAAAGTGATTTCACCTTTATTTTCAGTTTCTTCACAATCGGTTTCTTCTCAAGGGTGCTTCATTTACTCAACTTTCTCAACAATTTATATCTTTTTCTTATTGGAGTGTATCATATTTCATTAATAGATATTGAAGAAAAAATAATGCCGTGAGCCTGGAAGACAACATTTTGATAAATTTCAGCAATAGCTAAGGAAAGTTAGAAGGGAGAGAAGGAAGGGGACCTAACAAACATCCTAGGAAATTTTTTGGTAGATAGCCAGTGTGCATTTAGGGCTCAATGAGATTTCTTAACTGAAGTTGTAGATTCAGGACCAGTTTATTGATCAGATTTGGAGCCAAGTAGATTGTATAGAATGGGTAAAAAGGGTATATAGTGGAGCAGAAAAAGGTAGAAAGAGAGGTAGAAAAATCAGAAGACGCTAAGAACTACCTCAAGACAGATCATCTGTAAGGAGAAGAAACCAGAGAAGGGGCATCCTGATTGGGATTAATAATTTGTTGTAAACAATCTGATATAATCTGATCATGAAGAAAACATCAGATCTTAAAAATAAACCTTGTTCAACTGAACATTTCTTTACAATAATTTTATTTAGTGTAATAGGATTTCCCTAGTTCTATTGAAAAGATCCTTTCTTGCTTAATTATTTTGTATTTGAGATTGAGATTTGTAGTTTTAGGTTTTTCCTGGTATTAGATTTATTCAATTTGTCAAAATTATCACTTTGACAAGTACTTCAAAATCAACTTGTCCAAAACAAAATCTTTCTCTGTGCCTTAGTTTCCTCATCTGTAACATTGGGATAAAAACGGCGGAAATGTATGTAATATGCTAAAGTGCCTGGTGGATAGTAAATACCATAAAAATTGTTACTATTATCTTTTAAATATTACAAAGTCTTTAATGAAAGTAAATGATAAAACTTAAGGTTATTAGTATGTCATACAAGGTCTTCCAAAATTTGGACTCTTCCAACTTTTTTAGACTTATGTTTTTACCTTTTACCTCTCCCCAATGCCCTTAACCTATGTATTGATTTATGTAGTTTTCCACCAAATGAACAGTGCTTTTTTGCATTTCTAGCACTTTGTAACATATTGGTATTATTTACTCCCTTCTGTAGGTGAGAAAACTGAGGCTTGAAGAATTTCATTGCTCAGTACGAGGCTCTAAATAGAAAAGCTAGAGTATACTCCCACTTCTTTCTTTCCAAATGCTTTGGGCCTTCCCACTGCCAGTCTTCCTGAATGATAACTGTTAATTACTGCTTGCCATTTAGGTGCTCAAATGTCAGGTGCTATATTTCATGTCATTTAGCTTTTATTCACTTTTAATTTATTGTGATATCTTGCATACCCTTAAAAAGTATAGAGAATTGTCTAACATAAACACTTTTAACCTGACAGTCAGCTTCAGAAATAAATATTAAAAATATGGTGGGAGCCTCTATGGACCTATTTCTTTTTGCTACCTAGTGGACCATCCTTATTTTTTTGCCATTTCTATGTAGGCTTTTATATTTTAAAAATTATATATGTATATAACTGTAGTCTCATTTTGTATTAAAATGTTTTAATGTATTTTAAAAATAGGTAATACATAATTCAAAATTCAGAAGGGGTATTAAAAGAATATAAACAGAAAATTTCTCCCTGTCTTATATCCACTCAGTTTCTTCCCCTGTACAACCAAAGTTATTCATGTTTTTTTGTTTTTTTTTGTATATCACTTCTAGAGCTATAACACTTCATAGCATGTAACATGAGAGATTTTAGATACATTTAAGCAAAGATATGCCCCTTTTCCACAGCTTGTTCTTTCACTGAATTTTTCTAGGCAATTGTTCCATTTAAGGGCAAAAAGATTATCCTCACTGTTTATAATAGCCACATAATGCTTCATGGTATGGGTCAACCAGAATTTCTTTAACTAGTTCCCCACTGATGAACTTTTAGGGTGTTTCTAATAAATGTTATGCTAATACATACAGCACTGTAACGAATATGAATCAGAAGTGATTAGCAGAGGTCTGAGTGTATCTGTAGGAAAAATTCCTTAAAATGAAATTGGTAGGTCAAATAATAGGCCTTTGTTTGTAGTTTTCTTAGATATTGAAGAAGTTTCCCTCATTTGAGAATATTTTCCACATTCTATTTATTTTCATTAATTCATCATGACATTTATGAGTTCTATCCTAAGTTCTTAGAACTTTTAGTTCATTTATATTCCATTATTTAGGCTGTTTTCTATTTTTTTTATTACAAACACACTGCAGTGAAAATCATAGTAATTTTTTAGTAACATATCCAAGATTTTTTTCTAGTGCATGAAAAAAAATGTATATGCAGTATGTGTATCTTATATACACACACATAAATGAGAGTAAGACTGGCAGATCACAAAGTGTCTACTTTTTTTTGCTTCATATCATCAAACTGCTTTCCAAAGTGGTTTCATAAACCCCACCCACCAGAAATGTTAAATGTGTTTAAATTGCCTCATTTCTTTGCCAATACGTGGTAATAATGAAACGCTACTTTTTTTAACCAACATATATATCTAAGTATTTTTTCATATGTTTCTAGGCTTTTTGAATTTCTTTTCCTGTGAATTGTTCTCTCATTCTTTCTTATTTGTTTTTTGAGTTAGTTTTTCCTAGTGATTTGTAAGTCTGCATTTTGTTTTGTTTTGGCTGTACAACACTATCCCTGTATAACAGAAGCCTATGAGAGTATTGTTGAGTGTAACTGAACTGGTCCTGTTTGTTGTTCTTATAGGCACAGTGTCTTATAAACGTAAGTGGTGATGCAGTGATTTTTGTTCGTGAATCAGACTTAGAAGTGGTATCAGCCCAGCAACCTACTGCCACCTGCCAGCCATTATGTACTGGAGGAGATGTTACAACCTGAAGAAAATAGGAAAGAAAGAGCTCACCTCATTGAGATTTATCTGTCTCCATTGTTTTGTCATTATTGTCTTAGACAAAAAGAAATGAAATTAATTTGAAATAGTTGAGAAAGAATTGATACATTATGCGTAGATTTTTGTCTGGAATCTGTTGAAGGCATGAGAATTTCTAATCTTGATGTTTTGTTTGCCTAGTCTAGATAGACAGGCCCCATGAAATCTTCTGCCTTCAATAAGTTAAAATAAATTTCTAAGTGAACTGTAGCAAAAATGAAAGTTACTCTAATTTATGTTGATTTTAATAAAATCATAATTTAAAAATGAAATGGGAGGATTATCAGGAAACTAGAATAGCTACTTTATATAATTTAGAAAAACAAAGCAAGAAAGTCACATATTGTTAATGAATAAATAATAGATTTGAGAAATGTGGGAGAAAAGGAGAAGAGTTTTCAGAAAACTACTGTGTGGATTTCTTAATGTGTCTTATTTTGATGAGGAATTTGGTAATAACTCTCAGTGGGTAAGTGCTTTCAGCCGTCTTTTAGAAAGTTGAAATTCTGTAACTTGATTCTGAAATACCTCTAACTACTGTAAAAGAAAAAGTAATTTATTAAAACTGATATCTTTTCATTGAAAAGTTTTAATATCTCCAACGAGGGAGGAAAATTTATAATATAATTTCATAACTGGCCACATTTGAGTTAGTATTTAATTTGTCTGAAGAGGCTTGGCTTCAAGTGGGAAGAAAACATTGGTGAATTTTATTGAAGTAGTAAAAATATAATTGATCTAGTAGGAACATAAAAATTATTTTCCAGTAAAATAATATTGCACTCCTACCAAATGTACAGAATTTTAGTAGTATCTTAGAAATTTTTGGTAGTGAGTTGGAGTGTATTTGGCATAGAATTTGGAAATGTAAATTGAAGTAAATATGCTGCAAAATGTTGAATGTATACATAGAAATACTTTTTTTTGTCAATGCCAAATGCCCACTGTAAATGAATCTTAGATATTATATTTCTCCTTTGCACAATAAAATTTCTTTATAAAAACTCATGATTTTGTTCTCCAACAAGCTGCCCTACGGATTAGTTATTTCCTTGTTATTACAGGTGTCAATATTTTTCTGTATTTTGTTTATAATTTTATTTTTTAAATAAAAAAATTATAAAGATATACTGAAATGTTCCTAAATCTCTTTTTTGCCTTTTGGATATAGTACTGTGAGTTTTTTGAATCACTTAACCATCTTATCATCTCCATTTATTCCTTTGTCAACAAACATCCATTGTGTGCTTATTATATGCAAAGCCCTGGTCTTTCAACAACTGAGTAGTTGGCATTCATTCAAGAACATAGTTTTAGGTGGTGAACAAAAATAAGTTCTTGCTTTCGTAGAACTGCAAATTTGGCTGCAAAACCAATGTTTATTGAATGCTTATTATATGGAAGCCAGTCTATTTTTTTTATTAACCTTTTAGTCTTTATAGAAGCCCTCCTGTTAGCTCCATGTTATAGTTGAGAAAGTTGAGTAGTTTGTGTGAGTTTCCCAAAAACAATGAATAATGGAGCCAAGAATCAAGCACAGTCAGTCTAGCTCTGTATCCGACACTAAGTGAGAAATATGAGTGCAGCTTGGAATGAAGAGTTGAGAGAAGTTCAGTCAGGAAACAGTGCATAGGAAACAGTTGACTCTGGTCATAATTTCGTTCACCCATCCATTTGTTATACAGTAGCTATTTTGTGATAGCCTCATATATTCCAGAGTCCTATTTAGGCATAGGAAAAATAATGCAGCTATCTCTAATTGAGTACTTCTTTGTGTCATGTTCTCTGCACATAATTGCTAATATTTAAAGGAAACCGGACTGGGAATGTGGCTCAGGCGGTAGCGCGCTCGCCTGGCATGCGTGCGGCCCTGGTTCGATCCTCA